AAAAAAATTGAACAAAAGTTTTATACTTTCAATTATTTTGGTACTTTTCCAAAAAAAAATTCCAAAAAATATGCCCATTACTTTCATTCTGTACGTTTGTTAACAAAACTTTTATATCGATATGTAGAAAAGTTTAAAATTAATTAATTAATTATAATAGAATTATTTTAATAGATCGTTTTTCTAACTCAGATCTAATACTTTGTAAACATAACTGCTGGGCTTGTGCTTTTAAATTTAAATGTGCTATTTTACTAACCACGAATTTGATCGAAAAATAATTCAATGAGGTGAAATTGAAATAGCTGACAAGTAATATTCAATTATTGAGTGCTTCACTTTTTTGGATTGCTGTCAGCTATTGTACAAAATTCTTGGTCCAAAGAAGTATAGACGTTCGTTCAAGGTGAGTCCATTGGTATACGTCGAATTTTCAAAAAACCTGTATACTAAAATTCTTTCGGCTACGAAAAATTAAATTAAATTGTAATCTTATATCATTATTAATATAACACAGCATTAAATTAAACATGAATTGCTAAAATAATTATTTTAATGTGCATTCTCAGAATTTGTTTAGATTTCAAAGATTAAAAAAATAAAATTTTTTCCCAAAAAATTTCAAACTATAATTTAGTTAAATAAAGTAAAGTTCGTTACTAACATGTATACAAATAAGCAATATATTTGAAAACCTATGAAACGTCACGATTTTACTTTTAGGAAGAAAAAATAATTTTTATTTTAGCATTCTTTATTAAGACTCTTTATCAAATAATTCAGGTCGAAAATTTCTGATTGTATATTTCAAGTTATGATTATAGTAGAAAAGCAACTATATAATTTTAAAAATCATATTCGAAACGAAGCATACAATGGAAGAGTAGAAATAATTGGTAATGCAAATGGATTACAACTTTGTATTAAAAGTGTATTCAGAGGAATAACGAAACTACTATACCTGTTGCTAATTTATAGTATAAATTTATATTTTAATTAATGATAATTACGATTTTAATAACATTTAATGCAACGATTTTTTAAAAACTTCTATAAAACTCTATTATACAATAGTATGCACAGATTGATGCAATTTCACCTAATTCGTGATTTATAAATTGTCATTTATTTTTTGATTAGGGAAAACATTGGATATTTTTTGTCATATAATGTTTTACAGGTTGCTGTTTAACAAAAATACATGCATTAATTTGTCTGTTAACGGTCAGATGGACCTTTATTTAAAATCTTAGGATTTTAGGCTCTTAGGCTTTTGAAAAATGAATTTATAGTATCTAGTGGTAGTATATGAATGTACACTAAATTTAAAAAGTAAATTAAAGGTTGCTATTATAATTTAATTTATTTATTGACTTAATAGATTATTAATATTGTAGAATTTTGCTTTGATGGTAAATTACGATAAAGTTCAAGATTATATTAATTTTAAGTAGAGATTTTAAAAGAACAGATAATTTTACTCGTTTATGGAGTAATATTACTTCTTCAAGTCCAATTTTTCAATTTCTCAGCAAAAACAATTTTCGTATACTAAAACTTTCTCTACAATCTCTTATAAAAAAAAATTTACTACATAATTAGTTTAAATAAACAAATCGTGTCACGAATTCTTTTTTTAACTAATTAAGTATTGAAGGTATACTCGGGTCTATTCAAATTATATTATAACAAATGTTTTTTGACAGTATATCAATAACAATTTTGAGAATAACTTTACGGCTTTTTTAATTCATCATTAGATCACAAACATATGAATTGCTAAACAACATGAACTCACTACACAAATTACAGGGAAATTACGAATCTTGTCATATTTTTCATGTTATACTTATTTTGTTAAATCAACTCAATTATAAGTACTGTTCCATACTTTGCAGTTATATATGTATAACAGTTTCAAATATCTTATATATGTATGTGTTTAAAATTAGTTTGCTTTTAATTTATCCTCTTTCACTATTTTCCATTTTCATAATTTTTGTGAATGCAATTTTCATTTTCTTAATATTGTTTAGCTTTTCATTTTATTATCAGCTAATTTTTCAAATCACATCTTTCACAGTATTATTTTCATAATTTTGGGTGCAGTTTTTAAAATTATAATTTATTTTTCAATTATATTATGTAAGAATTACCTAAACAGTTACATGTCTATGCATAATAATTATTATGATAACAGTAAATAAATTTTTTTTAACATTCTCTCTTTTTCTTTTCTTTAATTTCAGAGAATAACACTAATTAAAATTTTTTATTTTCATTTGTTTTTTTTTTTATTTTTTAATGGAATGCATGAGCTCTTCCTCTACTGCACATTAATATTTAACAATAACTACAGCTTTTCCTAATAATTATATTTTATATAATAAAAACTAATACTCATAATTAAAAATATTACATAAAAAATTTCATATTTAAATAAACACTCAAAATACAAATAAAATAATTATATTATTTTTATCTGTGCACAATAATATTAAGTAATTGAATAAGGAATGGCATTTATTTTAAAAATAACCAGCAAAGAATTTTGAAATAAGGAATTCAATAGGCTTTTACGTTTAATTTAAAAAAGTGAAATTTTTACGAAAATATTTAATAAAAATTTCAAAGAACTATAGATTTTGAAATAATTTTTTTGAGAAAATTTTAAAATTATATTGTTAATTGTGCATATAATAATTAACTAAGAGTAAATTAGTTCAATTCAAAAATTATTAAAAAATAATAAGTATTAATTTTTTATTTTAAATTATTTAGAAAGAATGTTCAGTTTAAAAAAAAATAAACTTTTTATACTTAATTGATAATAAAATTTCTCCATATAATGGTTAGGGTAGTCGGTAATCTAAGATTACTAAAGACTATAATAAATTAAATCAGTTTATTTGTATGATTTTCTATATCAGAATGGGAACCTCCATAATATGTAGAGTATATATATAAGTACGTATAAATTGGGGTTTGTAATTTCGAGATCTTGATTCCAAGGAACTGGAATTTGTTGCACTTACAAAGAGTCCAGTTATCCAGTTTTTATGAAAATTTTATTTCATAAAACTACGAAACTTATTATTCTTAAAATTCTACAAAGCTTATTATACATAAAAAAAATATTAATGAAATGCAATTGAATGATTTAATTTGACCAAAGCTTTCTTATACTTGTAAATCTTAATTTGCAAATAAGTATAGTAAATTAATTTCAAATTGAAATTAATTTACATAGAAGGATTTAAATAATGAATGCAAATAGTTAAATGATGAATATATAATGATTGAAATTTAAATATGACCATAGTTTAATTATATACTTAGTTAAATTTTTCTGAAATTGAATTAAAAAATGAGAGACTATAGAAGTTATTTATGTAAATTAAAGTAAAATTATTGAATTAAAATTTAATTGTAATTCAAAAGCCGTGCATTTTTCATAATTTGGATAATTTAAAAAAAAAAAAACCTGAATTAATTTAATAGTATCATTTAAGAATTAAGTGATTATTAAATTCTTTTTTTCGGAAATCTATTAAAATTTAATGTAAACAACACATGTTTCATATTTGCATAATAAATTTTTTTTCTTTGTTTCTCATACGGAGCCAGTGATGGTTTTTCAAATAATTCATTGTATTGGTTCGCAAGTGAAAAATAATATTTTTCATATTTAATTCTATGGAAATAACACAAACTTTGTTAACTTATAGCTTATTACTCTTCTGGTAAAGATATTGTTGATTTAAATTTTAAATATGAGGACTCCGTGAAATATAACTACCTTTATACAAAAATTTTAATGAATTATTATGAGTTAATAAAATGAATTTTAAGAACTACTTATTAATGAGTTATGTTTTACTCAAAATATCTAAAATTCAAAATTTGTCACTCTAAATATAAGAAAAACTCAATGAAAATTTCGAATAAGTGTTTGCACACCGGGTAACTTGTTTTGTTTTATATAAAATATAAAAAATTCGGTTAAAAACGCACATAACTCTCTATTTTTGTTAAGGGTAGCAAATATTTTAATAATTTTTTAAATTATGCATCCATTACATTTATACGGGAGGTTCCCTTTAAAATAGATTCGTAAATGAGTACAGTTCTACAATTTTGAAGCGAGAGAATATCACGTACGAATTATAACATAATCTTATTTTTGTGGTTCTTGTTTGTTGCTGTTCGGTTCAATATTCTACAAGAGCGGCGTTTAATTTTCAAAGCATCTTTAGTGTACAAAACAATTTAATTTTTTTTGATATTAAATTAAAATTTTTTACAAATTTATTAATTAAGCATATTGTTATTTAATTAAATTTTTATTATCAGACAGACATTTATTTTCGAAGTTTAATTAATTCAATTTCAGAAACATCTGTTTAATGTCAATATCCTTTATAATTAATATTATCTATGCTTAATCATATTTTGAAATCAAAATTCACCCGAGTCGATTTTTGTAGTTTCTCTGATATAAAAGCGATTAAATGTTATCTTTTTGAACTGAACATTATGAATTTTTAATTTTATTTGAAATTTGCACATTAGGAAGTAAAACTGCGTTAAACAAAGAATATAATTTCTTAATTAATAAAAAAATTATCAAAATATTTAATAAAAATTCAAGTTCAAATTTAATTGAAAAAAAAAAATGAGCACAGCACAGGATAGAGATTTTTTTAGATTGGTAAGAAAAAAGATTGGCTAAATACTTATACGAAAACAAATATATTTTAATATTTAAAATTTTGGAATAGAAAATTGTATTGCATTTTTTAAATTAAAACTCTTTGCATGTGCAATAATTTCTATTTATTTTAACATTTTATTTAACAAATATTTGCAAAATAATTTTCTATGTCAACTTTACACTAACATATATATATATATATACATCTATATAAATTTTCGATTTTTAATTTATTAACTGCTATTTAATTAATATTAATTGCTTCTTGTATCTTTAATTTTTTTAGACAACAAGCATTAGTAAAGCTTTAAATCCGATTGAGGCACCACTTAAAGCAAAACATGCTCGTGCTACAATCATTGGAACACATAAAACTCAAGGTGGTCAAACATTTTGGGCTATCGTACAACGACAACCTTTAATGGAAAATCGTTTCACAGCATGGAAATTTTGTCATCTATTACATCGGGTTTTACGTGAAGGTCATCCACAATGTATAAAACAATCACAAAGACATAAAAAAATGATGATAGAAGTTGGAAAATTATGGGGTCATTTAAAAGATGGTCTCGGAATTTGTATACAACATTATACAAAATTATTAGTTGTTAAATTAGATTTTCACGATAGAAATCCATTGTTTCCGGGTACACTGATTTTAGAATTTAGTGATTTAGAAAGGGCATCTGGAGATGATATTAACTATTAGTAAGCTTTCATAATTACACATTGTTTAACATAAAAATTTTGTTTTTGAAAATTTACTTAATTTTATTTTTAATTTATAGTTTTCAATTAGGTGTTGAGATGTTCGATTATTTAGATGAGATTATAGCACTTCAAAGACAGAGTAAGTACAGCCCACCAAAAATCACATCATCCTTTCTTATATCTTGTAAGTCGGAAGTTTGTCACGTTATAAAAAAGCGTAAGACAAAAACAAACGAAGTTTTTAAGAAAATTTGGTACTTATTTCCCCTTCCCCATTCACTTTTCAAGGAGGGCTTGGAGAGCTATAAATTTCAATAATATTGTATTTTTTCTTAGCTTTCCAAATTTATCCCAATTTAATTATACATTTAGTCGAGCTACAATATATAAGAATTGGTGTCCCGAAATATTTTATTAGCTAAAATAAATTAAAATTATATGAATTTTTTTTCAGTTTTCACTGCAATTGATACATTCCGCATGTCATCGATGACGCCACAAGGTCAATGCCGTTTAGCTCCACTTGTACCACTTATACAAGATTCAAATCCATTATATGATTATGCAGTACGTTTAATGTTTAAATTACATTCACATTTACCAAACGATATATTATGCGGACATCGTGAACGTTTTCGTATTATATTTAATCAATTAAAAGATTTTTATGATCATGTTAGAAGATTACAATATTTTGCTGATTTAATTCAAGTACCAAAATTACCTGAAAATGCACCAAATTTTAGTTCTAGTGTTGATTTTGGAAGTTATATACCACCAGTTGTTATTGTACCAGAACCAGAAGCATCTGAACCAGATCCATTTGTTGATAATTTAATTGATATATCACAAAATAATCATCATAATAATCAAGAACAAAATCATAGTATGGCATCAACACCGGAACCATTAATATCACCAACAAATCAATCACAATTACAACAATCACCACCACCACAACAGCCAACATCAGTTAATATTAATTTTGAAAAGATTTTACAAGATCGTGATAATTTAATTCGTGAACTACAAATAGAAATTGAAAGGTTAGGTAAAATATTAAAATCAATGACAATACAACATCGTGATGAGATTAAAGAATTAGAGGAACAAATTGAAAGACTGAATATAAAATTAACAGGAACAGAAACGGAATTAGAACAGATGAAATTAAAAAATGATGAACTTGAAATGAAAGCACAAACGGCACCAACTTTAGAACGTAAGAGTAAACGTTATAATTATTGGTATTTCTTTGAATGAAAATCATGTTGTTATTCTTAATCTTTAGAGCTAAATTAGTAGTTACATTGTTAAATAATTGTATTAAAATTATTAATGCTTAAATGAGGATTATGTAGTGGGTTCAAAATTATTTTTGTTTTTATTTAGTGTTTGTTATAAAAATAAATTAGTAGTTTTTGGTTTTTTGCTTCTTTTTTTCTGCCATCATCTTTAATGAGTCCGCCATAATATTTAAAGTCTTCCACATTAAAAATTTTATAATACCATTTAGGTTTAACTTTAAAATGTTCTCCAAGTGCTAATTAGATATTTAGAAATTAGATTTATTTTATTTTTGCTCATAGTAAAAGATTCTTCTAAACCAAGCCGTAACTTGCTTCTGTTCAATATATTTAATCCTCTACAGTCCATTTCATTCTCTCTTTACTGTAAGCTTTCTTTCTTTATTCAAGTCTGAGCTTTATGAAATTACCAAAATAAAGTTCGCTTATTAGAAGAACGGATTCATTTGATTTGCTCCGCAACTACCAACTTTGATATATAATAACGAGGATACTCTTGCAATCCTGTTATAAAAATAATTGCTTTTTATAACATGGCTCTCTGGCAATTAAATAAAAATTCTTACTAGATTCTTATTTTCATAAATCTGCAATGCTTTTGCATTTTTTTTCAATTTCAAATTTGTTTTCTAAATTTTTGCACTCCAGTAAGATATGTACAATATCAAATCTTGTAAGTACATATGTGTGTGTATAATATCTCAGATTCATGTTACGTAATTGAAACGTCAAACCACAGCTTCAAAATTTACTTCATATTTTGACATATTCTAAATTCTTAAATTTGTGAATTATTCTATAAATGTTAAGACAAAGTAAAAAAGAAAAAACTATATTAAAAGCAAAATGTATTGCAAAAATATTGAAGTTGCGGATCCTAAACTCAGGCACCTTATAATAAAATATATTTGATTTAATTGGATGTAGTAGTATATAAAATTTAGTTAGCAATTTAAAATAAACATCCAGATATTTGTATGTACATAATTGGAGATTAAATTTGATGGCATTTATGAAATTTTTAAAACAATTGAAAATTTGAATATTTTTATTTAGTGTTATGTAACATTTTTATTTTTCTCCACTGTAGAAAAAGTTTCCACCGAAGCTGAACGTGCAAAAGCCTCCGAAGAGAAATTTCAAAAATTAATGGCTTTATATACTAAAATACGTAATGAGCATGTGGATTTATTAAGAACAGTAAGTATTTGGATGTATAGCAAATATTATATAAGTTGTTCATGTATGAACGTTTTTTGGCTAAAATAAAAATAAAAATAAACAACTAGTCGCGTGGTTAATATCAGGAGATATTCGCTGTAAGCTTAAAATACACAATTTTAAAGAAATAAATCAAACAAACTTAAGTTTGTTGTTTACCTGTTTTCTTATCAAACAAAGTAATTAATCTATTCATTATATGTAGAAGATATTAATTTGTGTTACAAACAGGTAAAACAAATTCCGCACCCGGTTCGATAAAAATTAATCATCATTTTTATTTGATCTGATTTTTCCGCACCTTTAGTATCTGTTAGTACAATCGCTTCAATTTTTAGTAACTCACCTTTTTCTCAATATTTTATTTTTTTATTCAATAAATAAATTACATTAAAGAAAATTTAAAATTGTAAATTAGGCCTCGCATTAAGTTTTTCTACCTAGCGGTTAAAAAATATTGCTTAAGAAAATGACACTAAGCATATACGCGGCTCTCGTGCTCATCAGCCACGCACCTCCTTTATATTCGTTCTCAATCTGTATTTTTATCTTTTTTCAATCAATAAAAAATTTATTATGAAATATTTATATAAAATATTAAGTACATATATATATGTATATGTATAAATTTTTTTTTTAGCATGGTGAAGTAACAAAGCAATTATCGTCAATCAAACTAGATAAAGAAGATTTGACTACCGAAAAGGAATTATTAAAAGTTCAATTAGAAGAATATCAACAAAAGCAAGCTGAACAACTAACTGTTATTGAGCAAACAAATGAAACTAAACGTAGAGAAAAAGAATTAAATGAAAAACATCAAAAAATTGTTCAAGAATATGAAAAATTAAAATCAACCTATGATAATTTAGTAGCATCTAATTTAGCTGAAATAGCTGAACTAAAATCTGAATTAGATGCAACTCAACTTGATAAAGAATCTATGAAATCTGAGCAAGGTAAATTAATAGTACAATTAAAAACTGAATTAGAGAATCGACAACAAGAATTAATGAAATCAGAAGAAAGCTGTAAAATTTTAATTGTACAGAGAGATTCTGAAATTGAGGAATTAAAAAATAAATTAAGAGAAGACGAAGAAAAATTTAAGGTAAAAATCATAAATATTTGGTTTTTTTTATTATAAAAATTACTTTGTTAAATGGTGAGCGGTTCATTATAATTAATTTTTTCAATAATTTAAATTTAATGTGTTTGTTTTGTTTAATAATAAAAAAATCATATGCTAATCTTTATCCATTTTTGCATTGTCATTGCCAAATACTAAAAAATAAAAAAAAATTTATATAGAACTTTTATAAATGTAAAATAAATAAATCACAATTAGTATGAGATTGTAAAATATTTTGAATATATTTGTTAAAATTAAAAAAATAACATTAGTAATAAGGTTCATAAATTATATTAATGTCACTTTTAATATACAGCAGGAGCTACAAAAAAATATGTATTACATATGTATTAAAAAATTAAATTCTAAACATTATTTCATATCACAATTTGTTATGGAGGATGGAAATTGTTAAAAGCAATGTAATTAGTATATTTATTTCTATTATTAAGTTAAAACGTATCTACTTATGTTTAGTTCAAGCTACTGTAATTATTTCTTCATATACTGTGAACAAATTTGCTGACTTGCATTTTTTTGACTTTTTAATAAACATATTCAAACTAAATGACACTTTATTGGGCATGATTTAAAAATAAAAATACTGAAAAGATCTGCAGAATATCCAAGTTTCGATTAATTGCAAAAGTGAATATTGGTTCCATAATTCATGTGCGGTACAATTATAAATTCTATTTTCGAAATTGATAGCAAAGTCAAATTCAGCAATTAATTTCTAATCCAAATCGGATTCAAAAACCGATTACTGAAATTTGAAACACATAATAATCACTAACTTGGTATATCTTCCCTTTTCTAAAACAATTTTAGTTACATATTTGCAGGTCAGTTTACTTGTAGAAGTATTTTTTTTGATTACAAATAAGTACGAAAATTTTATACACTTTCATAGTTTTTTTGTCATTTCGTATAATTTGATTTAAATGTGGCAAAAATTCAATTACTTAATTGGTAAAAATCTAGAAGAAAATACTCAAAGTTTTCATATAACTACGTTATGTTTAAAATTTTGAAAAATTTTTAAACTTTTGGTGGAAGTTGAGTTCAACGGAAAAGTTTTTTATTATTTCATAATTAATTCATTTCCTTTTACCCAATTAGGCTATATTTAGTTATTGAATAAAGAATGTAATTTACAAAATTAAATATGTATGATGTTGGTTATGTGCTGTTTTCGTCAGATTATTTTGTATTTGTGATTCATAATAATTAAAAAACTCTTACATATTTTCATTGGTGAAAATGTACATACATACTTACATACATTAACTTACATCAAAAAGTTGCTAATAAATGTTCCAAATAAAAAAGTATTTGTGCAAATTTCAAAGATTATTTTCGTACAATATACAAATGATATTGAAATTATAAATCTATAGACAATCAATGCAAATATGGAGCGATTAAGCAATGAAAAATTTGCTTTTGAAAACGAAATCCATGATGTTCTTCATCAACAGGCGGAAATCGAAGAGAAACATAACAGTGCGTTACAAACAATATCAGCTTTAGAATCTTCATTACGTGATACAACAATTCGAAGTGAAACATCGTTACGTGCGTTATTGGAGGCATGCCTTAAATCATCAGAGAAATTGGCTATGAGAGCTATGAATGAGAATGAATTTACAAATGCAGTTGGAACTTCAGCCTATTTTATGATGTTAGCTGAGGAGCTTCAAGATAATTTGAATGAATTGAAAATTGTTTATGAAAAATATAGTAAAGATAATACATTGGTTGAAGGTTTGGCTAGAAAAACTGTATTATCTGGTCATTTAATGGCAACTGTTCAGATACAAGGAATGACAATTTGTAATACTTCTGCTGATATTGAATGTGGAGAGAGTATGCAAAAATATTTAATTCAATTTAAACGAATTTTATTTTAAAAATCCTTTTTTATTTATTTCAGAAATTGGTAGTGAAATCAAAGCTTTTTGCAAAGATGTTACAAATCTTTTTGATTCATTACACCAAAATCCTCCTTCAACAACCTTAGTTAGTTCAAGAATTGACAACGTAAAAGAAAAATTAACTCAAATAACAACAATGATTCATGATCTCTCATCAAAATTAGCTAAATCAGATCAAATAAGTGATCAACTTGACTCTGAATTGGCTGCCATGGATAAAGCAATTGATGAAGCAGCATCTAAAATAGCCGACATGTTAACTAAATCTAAAGCTTCTGATTCTGGTCTAAAATTGGAAGTAAATGAAAAAATTTTAGATGCTTGTACACACCTCATGAAGTGTATTCGAATGTTGGTACAAAAATCAAGACTTCTACAGGGTGAAATTGTTGCAGTAGGAAAAGGTAGCAAAATATTTTACTTTTAAAAAATCAAATCAATTAATATGATTTTATAATTACCTGTAAAAATAGGAACGGCTTCGGCTAAAGAATTTTACAAAAGAAATCATCAATGGACAGAAGGTTTGATTTCTGCTGCGAAAAGTGTTGCTCAAGGTGCAAATCTTTTAGTAACTGCATCTAATAAAGCTGTTTCTGGTGATTCAAAACATCATTTAGGTACATTTAACATTAAACATTAAAAACTAAATTATATATATGTTAATAAATTTAGTTTTGAAATGATTACATTTTCCTTAACCTTATATTTTAGATCTTGTTGTTGCTGCTCAGGAAATTGCCGCATCTACAGCTCAACTTGTTGTTGCTAGTCGAGTCAAAGCTCCTCGAGGTAGCCAAAATCTTTCTGCATTATCTTCAGCATCGCGTGATGTTACGCAAGCAACTGGAGCTGTAGTTGCTACAGCAAAAAATTGTAGTCAGCAATTAGAAGATTCCCAAGATTTAGATTTAACAAAACTTACAGTACATCAAGCTAAAACATTAGAAATGGAAATTCAAGTGAAAGTTTTAGAACTAGAACAAGCTCTTAGTGTTGAACGTTTGAAATTGGCAGCTTTTCGTAGAAAAAATTATCAAAATTCTGATTAAAATAATTATAAGAGTATAATTAATTCAAAATTAAAAAGATATGAATTTTTGAATAGTTATATAAAAGAACGTATAAATTTTTTTAAAAACGAAATAAAAGCATTAGATTTTATCAAAATGGGGTAGTCAAATCGGAAATATAATATAAAAACTCAAATATTCTAAAGTAGATAATAAATAATATTCTTTATGAATATAATTGTGTCTTAGATTTAAAATTATGTAAACTATAAATTTCTTTAATTTAATATTTAAATAATAAATTCTAATTTTAATTTTGCATTTATTTAAATATTTAATAATATTATAAAGTAAAATATTATTGAATATTACCAAAAATTAATTTTTTTTTTTTATAATTTCTAATACTATGCTATACAATTTTATATGCATTAGAAAAGGATTTGTTAACAATATTCTAATACTTGTAATTTTAGTAATCGAGTATTATATTTTATTTTAAATCAGTATTCATAAAAAAGCTCATAAATGCATCAAAAATTATTATCCACATTTTTGATAACTCCCTGAAACATCGATTTAAATGACTTTCGATTTTATAAAATCAAACTTAAATTTGAAATATAGCGAAAAAAATAAACTGTTGTAATAAATAAATTTCATGATTTAACAATACTTAAAATTAATAGATTTAAATAATAAATATGGTTGTTATTTTTGGTACCACCAAAGTAATAGTTCTATAGCACATACTAGAAATAGTCACAATGTAATAAGTAAACATATAGATAATTTAATTAATTTGAATTCAAAAATAACAACGTTAAATTTTGGATAGCTTTTGCTTAAGTTCAATATATTAAAAATAATTAAGATTTTTTAAAAACAGTAAAAATCGCAAAAAATATCAAAATTTGTGGTACAAGCTAGTTTTTTATTTTTTGACTTATACATAGATGAAGCCATAAATTTTGTAGAAAAATTTTAAATATTTTGCTATTCACTACTTTTATTAAAAAGCAAAAAGAATAAAATAATTCACTTTTTTAATTTTTCATTATTTTCCCATTACATTTTAATTAAATTCCACAAATCTGAAAAAATAATAAATTTGTAAATCTAATATGACAGGCAAAGTTCTACATACTCATAAGATTTTTTTTTAAACATAATTTATTTGATTGAATGCAATTATTAAAAGTAGATTACATACATAATATGTACATTATATGAATACAATATGAATGATTGTAACTTATTTATGCATGTACAAGAATTTTATAAAATAGTAAATTTGGTTTACTAAAGTATTAATAAAAATTTTTTAAAGGAAAATTTAATTTCAACTCTTATAACCTCCGAAAATAAAATTGTAAAGATATTATGTTACTAAATAATACGTTAAAGGGCACTTATAAGCTTTATTGTAAAATAATACACTTTACTGCAGTTTTAATGCCAGCAGCACATAATTTGTGATTTGTAAACAAAAACGAAATTTAATATTTATTAGTTTGATTGATCAGATCGTGATCTTATAAAAATATTTTCATCAAAACATTATGAAATTAATGTCACTATGTACAGGTAAATCTTCAAGGATTTCAAGGAAATAGTTTAAAAATATTGTAAAAATTTCTATAAGTTAATACAAAATCATTTTTGTTTTAATAAAATGAAATTTTATCTATGTATATTTTAAAATTATTAAGACATTTTAAAAATATTAACTAATAAATTGTTTTATAATATTTTACTAGAAAATGACTCTGAAAATATTTTATATATAAATATAAATGGATACAATCGCGTAAACAATTGTCAAATAAAATTATTTAACATTTATTGGAAATTGAAATTTAAAATTTGAAATAAATGATGACAAACTAGAGATTATTAAATAAGTAAAAATTACAAAAAAAATTAAATTTAAAAAATAAAATTATTTTGTTAATTATTTATTTAAATATAGATTTAAAGTATTTTTTTCGTGTCTGAACCAAAAAAATAGCAGTTTTTGTTATTAAAACATAAATAACCACAAGTACATAATATTTGGGAAAGGTATTCATCACATTAAAAAATAAAAAATTAAAATTAAAAATTTAAATATTTTATTTTTTAGTTTAAAATATAAATATTTTTACTAAAAAATTTTTCTCAACTCTTAAAATCGATTTTAAATAAATTTATTAGAACAGATTTCATTAAATTTTATAATATACAATTTGCTATTATTAGTTTTTATTAACATATTATTAAATATTGTGCAAATATTAATTTTTTTTTTAAAATAATTTTTAAAAATTAAAAATTATTTTGTATAAAATTTATATAAAATATATAAAATTTTAATTTATTAAATTATATTAAATTTTACTATATACACATACATATTTAATATATTTTATATATTATCTTTGAATAATGTAAAAAATATATTAAAAATTGTAAAATATTTTAAATAAATTTTAAAAACTTTTTAACATAACTCAAATAAAAATTAATGAAATTTAATAATTTTATTCAAATATTTTTTTTTAAAAAACAAATATACTAATATGTTTACTACCCAAAACAAAAAAAAAGGTTTATTCAAATGAAAATAATATTATAAATGATATTTTGGCCGTTATGAAAAATTCTTATATTATAAGAAATATATCTTTATATTTATTATACATAAATAATAGATAAGTATATCGTTTCTTTAATGCTGCTTAAAAGAATTTGTATTTTTTAATAAATATTTAATATTTTCAATTTAGTATTTGTATATTTCAATTATAATGAAACATAAATATTTTAATTTAAAATATATTTTTTTATAATATTTGATTTAAGTTATAGCAATTTATTTTAAATATAATAATTGTAATCAAGGTCAGTTTATAACAATTTAAGTACCAAAAAAACGAAAAAATTAATATTATAACAATTTGTAATTTAAATTTAATTAGTTATCAAAAATTTAAAAAAAAAGAAAATTAAAAAATTTTAAAATAAAAGAGAATTTTTTTAATATCGATAATAATTTAAAAAACAAAAATTGAAGAAGTTTTTAATAGTTTCATAAGGTGTGCCTTTATTTTTATTGCAAGGCAATGGAGATTCTTTTAATTTTATATGTTTTTATTTTATATACATAAATGAATGAATTATATATTTCAAATTGGATGTTATTTTCAAAAAAAAAAAATGTTTTTGAAACTTATAATAGTTATTAAAAAAATGTATTTGGAATTTTCGTTAATTTACGAAAAAAAAAGCAATGAATTTTGCAAATTTTTTAGTGTTTCGAAAAAAAAAAGAAATGTTTTATTTTAATTATTATTGTAATTTAAAATATATATATATATATATAAATATATATATTTAGCAATTGAACTAATAAGAATTTATATAATTTAAAAATATTTTCTATCTAAAATTAAATTGTAATTGAAAAAGAAAAAACATCTTTTATTAATTATATCTATATGAATTATGAACACTGATTAAATATGTTAATAGACCAATTATTAAAATGATGAACAACAATCTGTTCTCATTATTTAAGTGATTATTCAATTGTTCTTTTTATTCAATCAAGTGATTAGTGATTTTCTTAAAATAGGCTTAAAATGGATTTAAAAACTGCAAATTTGCATCTAAACACTGTAAATGGTAAGTACTGACGCCATATTATTCAATCGAAAACCATAAAAACGTACGTACATACATGAAATTTGTCATAAATATGCAAAAATTTAACTGAAACTAATAATTTTTATTGATGTACTTTGAAGTGGATTTTGATACCCTTATTGTACATTAAAGAATAAAAATATCAATGAACAAATCTTTCGGGTCAATGTTCTTCTGAGTAAATTTGAATTATAGAAAAAGAAGTTACTGTTGTAAATATTGTAATGGATCAATGCAAAAATTTTTTGTTACCGAAGCGTTAAGGGGGAAGTATTTGAAAATACTGCCCTATTACCCGTACCTCAAGAGATGTATTTGAAAATATTTGACATAATTGACAATATATAAGTTAAAAATGCCGAAAAATAAGATAAAATAGATTTGACACAAGATTTTTGTTTTTTTAGTTGATGACATTCAATAAAAAAAGCCTTTGAAATTATTTAGACTGATTAAGAGGGAAAAGAAAATAAAACAATTTATTTAGTAATTAATATACATATTTATTTATTTATATATTTTATATTTGTTATATTGTTTTTATTTTTGTTTAGTTTTTTGTTTTCTAGATCTTTTTTTTTTTACTTTTCTCTTAATTTCAATATAAGATACATGTGTATGTTTTTTTTTCTAATTATTCCAATATTATGAAATTACAATATGTTTCGTTAATGTATTTAATATTTTCCCTTAACTGTTATATCATATATTTATATATAATATATCTGTATATATTTCATCTTAATAAACTATATTTGTAGTCTAACCTAAAATGGTTAAATAATATTATTTTTAAATTATTTTGAATTATTTTTATTTTCTTAATTTATTAATTTTTGTATTGATTTAATACATGGTATATTTATATATATATGTGTGGGTATTATGTAACACAATTTGTTTTATTTCAAAAATAAATGAATAACTCGTTTTGTTTTTTAACTGTTTTTGTATGAAAAATGTTTCTTTTAATCTTTAATTTTTGTTTTTATTTAATTCAAATGAACATTTACAATAATTGTTTTATGTTACAAGAAAGATTTTTTTATATATTATGTGAGAATTTATTTATATTTTTACATAAATTATGAATACATAATGCTTTTATACATAGTGAACTTTGCAATTAAATTTATTTGCATAATGTAATTTTCAAAAATATTTTTTTTTATTTTTAATTCTTGTTTTTTCTTATACATAATAATTACATATTTGAGAGAAATTGTATATTTCTTGTACTTTATTTTTTTTTGCAATAAAATTTTTAAATATTTGCAGCATTCAGTTTAATGCAGACTAAACGTCAATTTGACTTATTCGATAATACACATTTAACTGTTAAATATGTCAAATTGACATATGTATCTTCATTGTTATAAAACAAAAATGAATAAAATATTTTTAATTTTTTTTCAATAAAATTAATTTATATTTGAAATTATTTTATTTATATTAAAAGTAAAATAATCAGCCAGAAAAAAGCTAATTTTTAGCATACTAAATTTATATTACATATTTATTAAATAAGGCAATATTTATATAATGCTTATGCTGCAAATTTTCCATTCTGTGTTTTTAGATTTTATGATTACATTCTTATCATATAAAATCTATGTGATCAAAATAAATTGTGTGTTTTTATTGTAATTTTCTAGGAATTTCTTTTTTATTAAATATGTACGTATTACGACATATTGTTTTAAATATGACATACATATATCAAAATCATAATTGCAAAATTATTTTTGAATGAATCAGAACTTCTACAATGTCAAATGCATTAGATGCAAAAACCAAAGCAAATTTGCATAAGAATTCGTGCATAAGACGGCAATTAATATTTTATTAATAATTGATTAATATACACAACTTAGTTTATGAGCTATACCTGCTGATCGCTGAATTTTGTGTCATTACTGCAATTTTGAAGTAATGAATTAAAAACGTTATACCCAATTACACATTGCATTGGCATTTGATTATTTTCCAATTATAGCTGACATTAAAATGTACTTACTGTATGTACCAATGTATGTATGATTTGTTCAAGTTTTTTCAAATCATTCACAGTTTATCATTTAATTTTTTATATTTTTTTTAACTATAACTATAAAATTTCATTAAATATAAAAAAGAAAACAAAAAAAAAAAATATTGAAAATAATTTCAGAATAAAAAATGGCAGCATTAGCAAAACTTTGAACACTTTCGCGAAATAAGAAAAAATTATATATAAATAAATTTTTATTAATTAACATTCAGGTACAATAGTAACTGCAAAAATGATTACTATTGCTCGTTACCATAATTGTTATATGCATGTGTCCAAGTTAATTTGAATTTTATTTCGTTATATACCTTATCTTCTTGTAATGTTTGAATTATTTTCTAGGGTAAGAGAATTTTTCTATATGGTATTCTAAAGGAAATATAACTGTCAAGTTGACAGTAGATTTACATTTAGGAATTTTCGCTCAGTATTTTTATTTTTATATATATTTGTTAAAATGTTAATAAAAATCAAAGTAATTTAACATTCTTTTACTTTTTCTATACATTTAAAAATAAATTATTTATTTTATTCACTGAAAAACTTTTTAACATTATTTGAATTAATATTTTTTTTATATTATTTATTTTAATTTCTACATGTACACTGTTTAACTGTAGTCAATTAGTACTGTACAGATAAAATAAAATACATAGTACACTGTAATACTGTAGTACACTGTATTAGATAAAATTTTAGTTTTTTTTTTTAAAGAAAAAGAATATTATTATTGCAAGGATATTTAATTTAAATTAACCTGAATAATATTATTTTACATGCAATAATTTAAGAATAATTTGCTACAAAAAAAATTCGCCTAAAAAATTTTTTTTCAAATACATATTTTATATATTATACAATAATATAAAATTTCCTTTAAAATTAAGGAAACAAATACTATATGAAAAATGTTTAGGAGGTGTTCAATTTTTCGAAAAATTTAATTTCGAAAAATCATTCCAAATATTCGTTGTCATATAATTATTTTTCTATTATCTTTGAATTAAATTAAAATAAAAATTTTATTAATATTAAATTGTAAATAAAATTAAAATTTAATATTATTAAATTGTAAGTAATTTATAAAATAATTATATACGCATATATTGTTGCTGCAAAAAAATTCATAAATCCTATTATATATTACATTCTTTACATATAACATTTATATTGAAAATTTCACTTAAATATTGTATGTAATTTAATTATATATAGGTGTTATTATAATTAATAATATTTAAAACAAATAAAAAATATTATGATTTAAAATGTTTTTCAAAAAGAAAAAAAGAAATTTATTATGAAAATTATTTTGAAAGAATTTATTCTTAAATGCACTTTTTTAAAATTTGAATTTTTATATTGTATTTTTTTGAAATTATTATATTTAAAAAATAAAGAATATATGATGCTTATACTTAATTTTTACAAAATACAAAGAATTTTATTATTGTCAATAATTTTATATTTATTTTTTATATTCAAAATTAATTTAAAATATACAAGAACCTGTTTAATCTAGCATAATACTTTGAAATTATTTTCTTTGATATTATTTTGATGGAATTATTCATTTTATTTGACAATGTATTGATGACAACAAAAATCAAATTATGTCAAAAATTTTTTTATTTTTATTTCTTTCATTTATTATGTAATTTTTAATAAAATATTTATTTTGTGCAAAAAAAATTAAACATGTTTTTGTTTTTTAGATTTTTATTTTAATTATGAATTTATACAATTTCTAAGTATTTATACAATTTTTATGAAAATATTTATTTCCGTACTAAATAATAACAAATAATTGAAATATGTTGTAGTATATAAGTGTATAATAAAAAGTATACAATAAAATGTGCAATTTAATAATTTGCATAAAATATAATAATATAAATTTATACATTTAAAGAAATAACAACAAATATTTCAACGAAAAATTTACTGAAAATAATATATTATATAATTTATTTGTATATATGTATATTAATTTGAAATATGTAAGTACGATTGGGAATAAAAACTTGTTACATTTTCAGTCTATCTGTTTAATTAAGTTTAAAAAGTATGTTATTATTTAAAATATAAAATTTCTTTTTAATTTAAAATTATATTGAACAATAATCATGGTTTAATGGAAGAATTAATAAAGCGATTTTCCAAAAAAAAAAAATGTAAAATAACAGCATTAAAACTGCATTTTAAAATGCATGCAAAATAACACCGAAATTGAGGAGTTAAGCGTCAATAACAATCATACAGGAGGAATCTTGAATCATGTAGGAATTGTTAAAAAAATCTCGAATGAAAATAATTACAATCTTAATAAAATTCGAATATAAAACTTATTTTTGCTGAAAGAATAACAATTTTACTTAACTCGATCATTTTATTAACCCTTCCATTCTAAAAGAAAGAAATTTGTATGTGTTTAAGAATGTTATTTTTCTAGTTTTACTTTTAGAAAAACCATAAATAAAGAGTAATTTTGTACTTTTTTCAAAAATATACAAAAAATTTTTCTCAAATTTCTTTTAATTTAAAATATATATGAATCCGATAAACTGCAACATAACAAATTGCTAGAATCAAAAGTTTCGAAATCATTAAAATAAGATTTTGAAATTGAAGAATGATTATCATTTAAAATTATAAAATGGAAATAGTTTTCAAAAAAAAAAAAAAAAATTTTTTCTTTTGTTAATAAATTAAAAGAATTGTTTTTTTTTTTTCTCATTGAATTTCTAAGTCTTTATTATTTTCATTTTTATTTCTTTTTTTAAATAAATATTCTATATAATTTCTAAATTTTTCAACTCAATCATAAAAAATTATATAATATGTATTTTATGATACAATTCATGCAACTTATAATAAATTTTAAGAATAATATATAAAATTAAATGATTATTTAAGTCCTTTATTTTGTATTGTAACATTCACACATAAAAAACCGGAAACAAGTATGAAAATAAAACAAAATAATTTATTCTGATATATAATAATTATTTTCTTCTACCATTTTCTGAATTTTATACATACAATAATATACATATTGATTAATAATTATTATATTAAATAAATGTTTAATTATTTTAATAGGTCTGTTCAATGATTGTAAGAATAAAATTTTAATTGTAATTTTTAATCGTAAAAATAATCAAAAAAAAAAAAATTAATTATAAATAATTAATTAATTAAAATAATTACAGTGAATAATGTTAAGAATAAAGAATCATTTTCAATTAATTGCTAAGCATAATATTTTTTAATAAAATATAATAATACAGATTTCAAATATAATTCAGATTATCGAAGTGAACCAGTTACTGGTATTACAAAATTATGGTCTGTATCATTTATTTTAATCAAAGTTAAAAACAATTTAAGGGCGTCTAACAAAATGCAGACATAACGTCAATTTGACTTATTCAGTAATTAAAATTGTTTTGCTCATTTAATTAAGTTGACATTAGACCTGGATTTTAATATTTATTATTATTACATTTATAAAATATAAGGCTCAGAAGTAAATCATTGTAAGTCAGTTAGTCAAAGTTTTAAAGATAAATTGAAAAAAACAAAGAGAAAAAAAATTTACAACAGAACAATGTGAATAATGATCAATTGGAATTTTTTTTTTTTTTGGAAAATCACATGACTTTTGTCAACCGAAAAAATAAAGTGTCATTTGAATACAATAAATTATTTTTGATTAGAAAAGGACTAATGCAGATTATCTTCTGAGCCTCCAAATTATTATGTACCACAGTATAACAAAATATTTAATTAATTATTTTCTTCGATAATTTATAATATCGATTATTTAACAATCGATTAACAATTAAATGGTTTCCTTACTATTTGGAAAAAAAAACAAAGACAATCTACCATAATGCTAACCTGTGACATCAATTTGACTTACTCACCTATTAAAATTTTATAATGACAGATGAAATCAAATTGACTTAAGATCTACATTTTGGTAAATGCCCAGAAATTTTAAATGAATAACAATTAAAAATTACAAAAAAAAAAAAACTTACAACTATTGAATGGAGCTATTCATTCTTATATTTATAGGTGTGTACTAACATTATTATTGTAAATTATAATTTTTTTTTTCTGTCTTTTTTTTTTTTACAATTTATGTTTAAATAATTTTTTTTTTTTCTACTACATATGGTATATTTTTTAACTAAATATTAAATTTAAATGAATTGTTATTTTATTTTTGTATTATTTTTTTTGTTTTTATATTTTAAATACCGAATTAACTAGATATCACACATTACTGTCGGTACCTACAGCGCCTGTAAATGAAAATGGTTGCGCATTATTAACAATACTTGCTTTATCGCTAGTTGTTATGCCCCCACTACTATTTTGAGATTGAGCATTATTACGCATCTCCTCCAATGAAGCTCTGTATATTAAAAAGAAAAAAAAAATTGTAAAAGAATGAAAACGAAAACAATTAGAAAAACTTATATAAAAATTTTTTTTTATTTACATAATTAAAAACAAATTAAAAATCTTATTAGTTATTTTGATAGTGCTATGATAACATGTTGATTTTTGACAACAAAAACAGTTTTACAATTATGAAACATTTTGTACATGATTAGTGAAATTAAGTAAATTTAATTAGGAATGTTATTTTTTTTGTCACTGATTTTACTTTTATGATTAATAAGAAATGCTACTGAATTTCTAACACAAAACTTATAAATTCTGAATTGGTGATCAGGTTTTTTTATAATTTTGTAAGTATGCATGTGCGATTGATGATACGAACATTTGAACATAAAATTATTTTACTACAAATTGAAATACTAAAATAAATACAAAAAAATTACTAAAATACTAAAAAATTGTTAAGATTAGAACTAAAAAATTTGCAAAGCTTAATAACACCCAAATGAAATTCAAAATGACAGCTCCAATTTTAAGAACCATTATTATTGCTAACAAACGCTTTGCTTCATAACCTTTTATATTTTGTAAGTGAAAACTAGTTAGAAACCCTACTTTTTAAAAAAAAATGTAAGATTTATTTGAAATATCAATTAATTTAACAACTACATTCAATATAATTATTAATAATTTTTTTTTAAAGTGATCTTATTATTTGTAAAAATATTTTAAATCTACACACATTAGAGTTTTGTACAATTCAATAAACACTAGACGAAAATAGGGTTTTTTAAATTCAAGTATTTCTAAAATTTTTCCGAAATTTTAAATATATAAATTTTAAAATGAAATACTTTTGTTATTTTAGAGCCTTATCGTGCACGTATCTCGCTATTTTACTCGTCAAGTTAGAAAAAATTTAATAACTATTACATATTTGTATAGGGCGTGATCGTGTATCACTTAGAAGAGATGAATAACTATCTTATTTTTGTATAACGTAATTTTCAAGTGAGAAAAATTATTCGGTATTGTGTTTTTCGTTATTTTCTAAAATGTATACAAAATTTATTCAATTTGTTTTTGAAATTGAGACGTTCAGTCGATAATTTAAGAAAAAAACAAAAATCTTATGCATTTGAAAAAATGAGTAATCTTATTGGAAAAATGGAATATCCATTAGAAAATACTGAAAATTCTGATTTAAAAATGACATGAATTGCACGATTAGGCTGTTAATTTTCTGTTAATTAGACTAATTTAATTCTAACTCATTTTTTTGTAAAAAAAAATTTCAATTCTAATTAGGAAAATTATGGAAATCACAACTCAAACTACAACGAAATCAAAATATAAAATGAAAACCTATATATGAAATTGAATTTTAATTTTAAAGTTACTGGAATAATTAGAAATTTACAGATTCGAACTTGTATTTATTACATAAACTTTTAAAATTAATTATTTCTTATATAATTTTTAAAAATAATTTGAAATAAATAGTTATTCAACTCAAATATTTTTAATATTTTTATTGTCGGAGTTCAATATTACTTCAATTATGAAATTTGTATTCAATTATAAAATATAAATTTGTGTCATTATTTTATATTTAATAATTTATTTAAAAGCCTACAAAAAATAATTAAGACAGAAAACAATGTATAAATAAAATTTTTTCAAAGGTAATACTAAATTTTTAAAATTGGTTTAATTGCGAAACTACTATATTCTGCTTCATAGTAAATTAGTATCAGCTGATTATCATAGATATAAAAATTATAAAATTGTTTCTTATTTAAATTTTTAATTATAATTTAAATACATAGAATGAAAACTTGGCACTATTTGAAGATTTTTCTTTTTCCAATTCTAGAAACTAAATACTTAAATACTAAGAAACCCTAATAACAAAAAGACAAAAAAATTACTAAATTTTTATATTTAAATTCCAATTCAAGAATACAACTCTTAAATGTTACTAATTATTATAATTACATATTATAGGCAATTAAATAAAATATGCAACTGCAAACATAATCACAACATTGAAATACAAACATTATGCTAAATACACAATGATTTTCTACATTAAATTAACAATCACATCAAATTCTTTTTAGACAAATCACTTGAAATGATGGGAGTGTTCATGAAAATTATGGCGATTTAAAAATTTTTGGGAGGTTTTTTTCATTATTGAATTTCAAATTTTAAAATTAATTTTATTTTGAAAATTACAAAAGATTTTTAAATAATCACCCACCATCTCAGATGATTCACCTAAGTGAATAATGTGTAGGTGAATAATAATCATGCTTATTTTTTTTTTTTCTTAAATTTTAATTATAATATAAATAAATTAAAAAAATGTCCTACCCGGTATGATAATGTTATTATTTAAATAATTTTTTAATTTTTTGTTCTGAAATATTGTGATTTTATCCAATGTTCCCCCAAAAAAACACAATTTGAATAAAAAAATTTGTATTATACGATAAACAAAAAAAAAAAAACGTTAAAATTTTGCTTGATCTATTTAAAATGAAGATGAAGAGCCCAGATTATTAATGTATGCATTGAAGCTGGAACTTGCATTTCTGCTTTCAACTAATTTTAATTATTTATCTTTTAATTTTTTTTTTTATTTTTTATTAAATCTATCTTGTATGACATGCGATAATTTTTATATTAAAAAAATATATACATATATATATTTTTGGGTTTATATATATTTTTATTTATATACGGGTTTTTGTTTTTATTTTTAATTAAAATCAATTAATTTTATTGTTCTATAATCTTATTAATTAAAATTATATTAATTCCATTAGTTTAGATAATAATAAAATTTCAATTTGTTAATTTGTACATAATAATTAATATTTTATGTATGTATGTATGTACAATTGAACTAATTAAAATAAAATTAGTTAAAAATTTGAAAAAAAAAAATATTTTTTAAAATCTCTGAATTTAAATTATAATATCAATTATATTCGGTAAAATTTCAAAAATATTTTGCATACACATTATGTACAATAGCAAATACAGTGGAACTTTTATATCTCGAACTCAGTAAATGACAGAAAAAAATTTGAGCTAAATATGTAGCTATTTGAGTTAGGGAGACTAAAATATATGAAAATATTTTTCAAAATGCTTAAATAAACGTAATTTGAGTTAAAGCAAAACTAGTCTTATATAAGAGAATACGAGATAGAAAAGTTTAACTGTATGCAATATAGATTAATTTATGTATTATATTAAAATAATATTAGTTAATTTATTTCTAGCCACACAGTACTCATTTTAATTAATTATATTGCATAGGTACTATCTGTCATTTTTATACAATTAAAATGTTGAATTAAATTTGCAAAAATTCACAAAAAAAAAATGAAAACTACATCTTACAAACATTCCAGTAAGATTGAACGAAATTTTGCTTTTTGATTAAATATTTTAAAGATCAAATATATTTTATTATATTATAATTTATTTTTTAGTAGATTGTTAACAGACAAAAAAGAGAAATCATAGTTATATATTACATAAATTTTAATATGAAAGCATTGAAATGTTTATTATTCGAAGAAAAAGCAACAATTATATTTAATTTAATTTAGAAATACTTTTCCCTTAAATAACATTTTTAATTTTTATTCAATTTTTTGATAATTTATTTTTTTTTTTAATTTTTTTTTATTTTTTAAACATAATTGATATGTTTTGTGTCTAAATAATATTATATAATATATTTTTAATAATACTCAATTTTTTTTTTATTAAATATAATTGTATTTTTTGTTTTTTTTTAAGCGATTATTTTAACGATGAGATACAACGACGACCACGACGACAACGATTAAATTTCATTAAGGGTATTCATATATTTATATATATATATATATATATATATATATTAAGAAATTCGTAAATTGTATATTTTTCAACGTAATTAACTAATAATTTTTATTAAATTTGAATACTGAAATCAAACAGTAATTGGGTATTTTTCATAATTCAGTTCTATTCTAGTACAAATTACTTGCAGAATCTACTACAAGAACTGTCAAAGAAATATTTTTAAAAATGCAAAATGTTTTGACGGTATTTTTTTAAACTACATATACAACTGCAAATTAAAATATTTTAATAAAATAGAAAACGAAAAATAGTGAGATTAAAGTGGACTTTTTGCAAAATTGTTAAGGTTGACATTACTTTATTTTTGTTTCAGAAAATTTTTTCCAATGTCAATATAATTTTGAGTTACGATTTTTATTTTAATTAAAAATTATTTAAATTTATTTAAAATATATGTGAAATTTTTATGCGCATATACGAATTTATTAAACTCATATTATAAATAAATCAATTTTAAATATTGGAAATTATTTCAATTTATATCAAAATTAATTACAAATTACAGAAATTTGAATATTTTTTTTATGAAATTTATTAAAATTTCAACTTAAAAAAAAAAATGATTCAAATGTATTGTTGGTAAGCAGTTATAGGTTCTTCATTAACATTACTATCGCAATACTGCAAAACAATAACTGTGAAATGCAATTTTGCAAAAGCATAACGTTATAAATATGCAATATATTTTTAACTATTATAAAAAAATCAAAACATTTCACATGATTTAACTACGATACACATTTCTAATTTTGCTATTTTGCTTAGAATTAGACATGTTTATGAGCAAACTAAGTTAGCAACATTTTGTTTATAAACATAAATACATTTGTTATGAACGCAGTTTTCACTATATTCAAATATATCACGATATACTGCACTTATGAAGAGGCCTAAAATTTACGAATTAATATAAAAATTATGATATACCCTTAATAATAATTTTTATTTTTTGTTTTCATTTTTACATTAATAATTAAATTTTTTTAAAGATTTTCTCATTTTTTTTAATTTACATGTTATTAATAATATTGTGTTAATTACATAATAATATATTACATTTATATTTTAGAAAAAAATTTAATTTTTCCATAATGAAGGAACTTAAAATGAGTTTAGAAGAAAATACTAACGATGAAAAATATGTTCGTATGTATTGATTAATTTATTATTATATATAGATGTAGGTTTATATTTAAAATTTATTTTATCTTTTTCAATATTCAAGGATATTCGGGATCAGAAATTTTATATTTTGTTTTCTATTTTTCTTTTCATCATTTTAATAACTTTTTCTTATTTTCTTCGTATTTCCTAAATTTTAATTTTAATTTATGGTTTCAACAATAATTATACTTCTATTTTGTGTCTTTTATAAATGATAAATGGACTTTTTTTTTTTGTTTGTTTTTGAAAATTCAATTTTTTGTTTTCTCTTTAAAAATAGATTTTATATTAAGGTTCAATTAATAAATAGTTAGTTGAAAAAGTGTTTTATTTTAGTGCCCGAATTTGAAAAATGATTTTAGATGTTTTTGTATTAAATTTTTTTTTGTTTAATTTTTTTTTTTATATATTTAAACAATTTATTTTAAAAATTTTGTTTCCTTTTTTTCCTTATTAATGGCAGTTTTTTTTATTTATAAATTATAAATAATTTGTTTTTTTTTTTATATATTTTATTTTTTTAATTTTAATTTTTTCTCACAATATTAACAACGTCCTTTAGAAACTTTTGAGTTCTCCAAATACAATAATATCGTTAATTAAATTTAATTCAATTTAGATTAATGAATTAGAGAAATTTTATTGAATATTTTTGATTAAAGAAGGGTTTCAACATAAAGCCTTATTTTGGAACTTAAATAAAATTGAAACTGAGTGGAATATTTTTCTTATATTGTGTACGAGTATAAATTAGAGTTTGTAATTGTCATAATAAGGGTTTTTCAAAATATTTTTGAAAATATTTTTTAATAGATATGAAAAGAATAAAAAAATGAACAGTTATCAAGGAGTTTAAGAATAAAACTTAGGATTTTAACAAAATTAGTTCTATTCAATAATAAAAATTTTAATATAAAATAATATTAATATTTCATAATAAAAGGAATAAGAATCTAATATTCTGAGAAATGTGTGCTTTTAAAAAAACGTTGTTAATGTAAAGTTGTTTTTTAACACATAAGACTTTGAAGCCGCTTTATTATAAAATTTAATTTGTGTTTTTGTAAGTTTTTTTTTGTTTTTTTTTTCTTTTTAGGAGTTTTATAATTTATCAGTTATAAAATTATAATTTTATAATTTAAGAAAAGAAATAAATTATTTTCAGTCCCTTTAATTCAATCACAATGTCTAACCAATTTGTAACTTTGACGACCATTCCAATTAGACGGAACTACTACACATTCTTTTGAAATTAAAGAGATCGAAATCCGAATTTCTGTATTCATATATTTTTTATATTAGGGAAACATAAAATAATATGCATTTTAAGATTTTAAAAGAAAATATTAAGTTAAAAATTCAAAATAAAAATGGTGTTAATATAGTTTTGTTGTTGTTTTCAATAATATAAAAATTTAAATAATATTTGCTTTAGTTCTAATCAACTAGTCTGAAACTACTAGTCTGAAACTAGTATGAAATTTTTTGAAAAACAATTACAAAATTATAAACATCTCATATTATTCTGGATTCGAATTATTCACTTCAGTAATATAGATAAGCATATTTCCTACTAAATATTTATAATTTCTTTTACAAGCCCATGGTGGATTCGAACCCTTAGCCTTCATATAGTTGAAGAAAAATATTAAATTTTTTTTTTGTATTTTTTTTTATTGTAGTTTTTTTTTTACAACTTTTAGAGTTTTTGGCTTACCACCAAGGCACCATTATAGTTCAATAAATTTTTTTTTGAGCAAAAATTAACGTATTTCTAGTTCATTTCTTTTTAGGGTTTTTCTTTTTGCAATATTGGAAGCTTCCTTTTTTATAGTTTTTGATTTTTTATTAGGTTTCAATTTAAATTTTTATAAGCCTACATAAAATTTCATTATAATTAATGTTTTGTTACTTCTATTAAAATGGGAAATTTGTTAAAAAATAATTTTTTTTTTTTGAACAGTTTGTGTGAATGATTTTGTTATGTTTATTTATGTTTGTAAGAGAGAAGGAGAGAGTGATAGAGAGCGGTGGCTTTTCTTTTTTCTTAAATTTTCTTTGTGTTTTTTTTTTCATAAATTTATTTACTTTTGTTTTTTAATAATTTTTTTTTATTTTTATATTTAAGTTTAAATTACATACAACTATCGTAAATTTAATTAATATTATTTTCAATAACGCGCTCTTTTTTTTTTTTTTGTTAAAAATATTAATATTTATATATGTATATTTTTTTTTTTAAATTATGTTATGAACATGAAATAACTTTTTAAACTTAAATGATATTTTTTTTTGTTAATATTTTAAAATTATTTGATTTATTTATCTCTTCTTCTTTTTTTTCAATAATATTATTTTGTATTTTAATTTGATTAAATTTGAATTTATGTTGGACGCCATACATCTGGGTCTTCCATTAATGTAACATGTTGATCGGTGGTTTGCATTGGTTGTCCTGGCATTCCTTGCATTCCCTCCATTCCCGGTTGCATACCGGTACCTGTTGGTGATGCAACAGCAGCCATATCTTCACGTGTTCCTCTGTTTTTGTTTTTTATTTTATTTTTTATTTATTGATATTATTTCATTTTTTTTTTTTCGAATTTACCGCGATTTGAACATTTATTTTTAATTATTTTTATTAATTATTAATTTTTTATTTTGATTATTTTGGTATTGTCATACAAAATTTAATTTTATTATTTTATGTGTTAAAATTGTAGAAGTTGTAACAGATAAGTAGATTTTATGGTAGTAGGTTTGTTTTTTTATCAATGTTATATAGTTAGACATAAAAAACACAAAAAAAAGAAACAGAAAAAGGCAACACAATATTGTTTGTTTAGTTTTAATTCTATATTTTAATTATTGTTAAATCAATTTATTATAAGAAAAAAACCCAAAACAGAACACGTTAAAATAATTATGTGAAAATGAAATAAAAAAAAAACAAAACAGTGAAAACAATAATTATTAACGATTTTCAGAACAGAACACAGTGAACAGAACAGTACATTTCCGATCCCACAAGCAGTATTATGGCGAACTCTAGCAAGAATTCTATAAAATTTAAAATTATTGAAATTATAATTTACGAGTACATTCGACTTTCATATGAATCTTGACTTAACAATCAAATGATTATCAAAATAATTATCAAATAGTGAGAATCTCTTAATAGTAGCTATCTGAGCGCAAGTAATATGTTGGGTCTAAAATTTTGATTTGTTACTAGATACGTACATATTTTCTTATAGTTATATCAAAATTCAAATTGTTCATTTATAAAATAAAGTACATTTGTGTAAAATTTTCAAAAGAAAAATTAATTTTGAATTCAAATGCATAAATGTAAACAATCAAAAAAAATTCGTAATATCACAAGTGTGATGTAAAACAATATTTTCATGTCCTTAGCAAATTTATGATATATGTTTCTCACATATATGTACATATTGACATTTAGTTTAAATTTCTATATTAAGGATGTAAGAATAAGTTTAGTTGTTTGTATGTACATATGAGCAATAAACATAATTTTTAAATTTTGACCTACAAATATTCTTCAAAACATATTTACATGGACTAATAAGACAGCACTTTAAATTGTATTTTAATATTAAATTATTTTAGCATTTAACTCAAATTTTCCAAATTTATTTTGTTAAGAACAAACCAACAAATTTTAATTGGTTAATAATTATTTTCAATCTTTTATATTTTGTTAATTGCTAAATGAATTTTCAATAATCTTTGAAGAAAATCGTTAATAGAATAAAAAAAAAACACAAAAAACAAAAATTAAACAAAAAAAAAAATCAAGAAAAAAAATTAACAACAAACTTACTTCTTTCCTATTGACATCATGCCATAAACGACACCAGTGGCAAATATTAATCCACAGCCAAATATGCTTCCTAAACCAGGACAAAAAATAACTGGTGGAATAGCAATTCTAAAAAAGAAAATTTTATTCATTTAAGACCAAATTATCAAAAAATAATGACTTTTTTTTTTTTTGGAAAATATCTCATTTATTTACATGCAATATAAGGCTGCACGATTCCACATTGGTCTTTCATCTGCTTTTCTTGCAATTACTTGAGCATGTTCAAGGAACATACAACAGAATGGTGCCTCTACAGCCATTACTATAAAACCAGCAAATATTTGTAATACACCTGATACTAAACATCCAACACTAAAGAATATTATTGATAAACAATTCCATAATCCGAATAACATTGCAACTAAAACGGAAAAAAAAAATAATTATATAAGAAATATTTGAATTAGTTTATTGATTTGAATAAATTAAATTTTATGATTTATTTAAATGTTCACATCTTATTTAATTCTATTACTTTTCTCATTTATTAAGTGATTAAGTAATATAACACTATTTTCTTTCTTATTACAAAATCACATATATATTTGATATTTTGTTTGTTACATTGAGTTACAATATTTGAATTTATATAAATTGTATTTTGTAAGCGTTTATACCAGTTCTTCTCTACATACATATATCGAATTTATATATTCACAAATTTTTATACATATTTAAATAATATACTCAAATATTAAAATTTTTTTTTGAAACGAATATTTTTGTTATATAAAACCGCAAAATATAGAGAAACATTTGAAATACTTCTACGTGAATAACAAAATTATTGAACAACTATTGTTAATTCACGTAAAATCTAGAAACAGTAAAAAAAAAAGTTTCAGATTTCACACCGACTGCAACCATAACTACATTGAGATAAATATAATGGCAAAATAATTTAATTTCATTGATTAAATCAAGTTACTCCACATTATATTTTGATTTTGAAGTCAGAAATATAATATTAAATAACACTAATGAAAGATAAGGTAGTCTTTGCATTAAATATTGTTCATTTCAACATATTAAACAATTTTAGTGCATATAGAAATCGGAATATGCAAACTTACATTTGATCTGAATTGCAATTTTTAATTTTCATAATTCACTCATTAACCCCTAAATTAGATAAGGTAAATATTTTATTAATGTTTTAATATTGTACGTTTACACTATGAAAAATGTGATGGTATTTTAAATTAGATGCCTGTCACAATTTATGTCGTTAGAATTACGAATGTCACTGATTTCATGCCTTCGTTGACGTTAAGGAAAGGAAATTTCAATAATTTTAAAAACAATAAAGCTCAAGAGACCAATTATTGTTAAAAATAATTTTGAATTATTTTAAGAGGCAATCCAACTGCCTTAGAAAATAATTTTGAAATATAATTAAAATAAGTTTAATAAATCGATCTCATTACAAAATATTTACAACACGTACATACAAATAAATTTTATAAAAATTCTCATATTTCTCAGTAAATTTTTTTTTCTTTTTCTTTATTATTTTGGTACTTCTTTGTTTTTATTTTTAGATTTTTGAATAAACAAAGACGCTATTCCAGCAGTAAGAATTTAATAATCAAAAACAAATCGGTTTAATCATTTATTAATTATAGTAACAAAAGTAGCTACGTGTGAGAAATATTTCTCACTGCGTTTCATATTTAAAATATTATCGAAATTTAATAATAAAGTTTTGTAACAAAATTTAACCCTCGCGCCTTTACTACTTTAATTTGTTTTCAGTTTAGACTATTTAGAGGCAATATATAATTCGATAAAATCACTAGGAACTCAATCATTCTTATAAAATAGGTACATTTCATGAGAGTTTAAAAAAATATTATGAAAAATACGTTTTAAATTTTGATTGAACTAATTTCTTAAGAATTTAATTACTTGCAAAACATTTTCTTAATAATTGTTACTAATAAAACCTATATAGATAAGAAACACTCCAATTTAAATTTGATTATTCATTAATTTTTATTTATCTATTCTATTGAATTGTTATTAATTCTTCCATTTCGAGACTATAAATTAAATTACAAAACTTTACGAATTATACTTATCCAAAATTGAAATAATTATAAATTTTTTTAGAAAAATCAAACACAGCCTATTATAGCTACATACATATATCTGTATTAACAAATATACAAATACAAATACAATTTAATATATTTGTTAAAAAATGCAGCGAAACTATAAATATAATATATATATATATATATATATATATATATATATATATGTATACTTATACATATATATATATATATATATATATATATATATATATATATATATATATATATATATATATATAAGTATACATATGTAAATTAATATCAGTGCTGTTTCTTAAACTTGTTTTTCTTAGATAAGAAAAGCAGACAGATATAGCTGAAATAATAATATGATTATTATTTACTTTATAGCAAAAATTATTAAAAAACAAAAATATATTAAATTTCAAACTTTTGTAGGTCTTCATATCAAAAAAATAAATTTTAAAAAATCATTTTTTTAGTTTGAATAATTAAGTAATTAATAAATTTAATAATTGAATTAAAAACATTATTATGCTACTAGCACCATCATAGAAAAATAGAAGATATTATGTTGTGATAGCAAAGTGTATTTTTAGTAGCAATAGTTCCATATAATTTACATACATATTTTTCTAATTTCGCACTACTCATTTCCACATTATACGAGTACTTATTGTATTACGGGATATTCAAAATATACTTTAAATATATTTACAATTTATTAATTTTTCTTATCTTTTGTTTTATTAACATATATGTACCTATATAAAATAAAATTAATCCGCATATATACACATATGACAATAAATACTTTTATAATAAAATAATATCATTTAAAATAAAAAACAATGTATATAATATAAAAGTGTAATAGCAAATGTGGAATATATGAGTAATATTGAGCAATATACACACAAAGATATAGGTACATAATATATATTGTATGTATATTTTATATTATCTTTATATATACTTATAGCTAAATAATAAAATTTTGCTATGAATGGAATTAGAATGAGATAATTAATATCTAATATGGTTTAATGAAAGAATCAAGAATATTTATTTAATAAAAATAAAAAATTTTAAAGCATATTTTTAATTCAAATTTTTTTTTATTTTAAATTATGTTGCTAACTACAACATAAGCATAAAATAATATAAATAAATATTTAAATATTAATCTATAGTAGGTATTTTATTTGTAACAAAATGTTAATTTAAGTGTTATGTAAGTATTGAGTCACAGTTAGAACTAAATTTGAATTAAACAACTTCAATTGATTAAAAATAGAAGGTGAAAAAAAATGAATTAAAAATAAAGGAAATTTGATTTTGCTAAAAAGAAATTTTTGTTTTATAATTTCAAAATAAAGAAAACAATTACTTATATGAAAATAGAAAAAAATTTTAATTTGAGAGTTGTGTAAATAATTATGTTCTAATATAAAATCTAAAATAAAATCTTAAATTCATTAAAATCGGAAGAAAAATATTAAAGGAAATTTATTGGAAAAACTATACTTTGAATTATTTAAATAAATAGGTGCAATAGGACGAACATACGTCTGCCTATTTAATTAAAAGATTTGCTTTTAATCATTTTTTAAATTTTTAAATATCCTTTAATATTTGGCATTGCATAATTTCTCAACATGATTTATAAGAATGTACATATGTACATAGGTACTTAAAATTATATTTTGTATTCTTTTTACTAATTTTGGAATATTAAAAGTCTAGGACATTGTTGAAAAGAATTTCATATTATACAATCAATTATATTGATATCTATTTTTATAATGTATTAATTCTCGTGCATTTTATATGCATATACATATATCTAGATAGATATGTAAATGTCCTATAGTTATTGTGTTTCGTAACAACCCTCATATATTTACATAATTACATATCTTTGAAAATGATATTATATAAAATGAGAATGAAAGAAAAGAGGGTCACTTTTTAGATTTTCGTTTTAAATACACTCAAAATATACCAAGGTTGTTCCTATCTACCTTAACTACTTAATAGAAAGAATAATGATAATTATAATCGTATTTAAATAATTATTATCGGTCATTATAATCGTAATAATTTTCTTTCATAATTAAAATATAAAGCATTACTAAATAAAAACAAAATTAATTGTTTATTTTGTAAGTGGGTAGGTGTACACCTACAACATAAAAACATTAAATTTTGAATGAAAATAAAAAAGTTTTATGATTTTTATTGTGAAATTCAATAAATAAATAATAAACATTAAGTTCAATCTAATTTTTTTTATAAAGAATCTAAAATAATACGTCACAGGTCTTTATCTGTCGACCATCCTATAAATTCTTAGTTTTTTCTAATCGTGTCATTTGATATGGATATTTACACTAATTTTAATTGTTTTACTTAACACATAGCTATATAGTTAATCTAACTAACTTAATTTGTGGTTGATAATTTTCTAATTATTAATTGTTATAATATTCTATATGATTTAATTTATAAGAATAATTAATTCTGAAATGAATAAGTAAAATTTCCGCTTATAAAATATTGAGCTTTCCCAATCTATTTTCAACATGATAAACAGGTTTATTGACTTTGGCAAATAAAAACACGAAAATAACTTTTATACTTCATCATTTTAATATAGGACATCAATATATTTTTACGCTTTTCTCTTCAATGCCGCTTAATGCCGTTTAATCATTTATTATAATCATAATATAATTTTCATCTACAAAATTTGTAGTTGTACCTTGCAAACCTATCTACCTATTTACCTACTTTTGTATATATTATATACGTTGATAATTTACTTTACGTAGGTACACATATCGGTTACATATCCGAATCGAATGTAGATATATCATTTTATATTAAACAAATGTATGGAAGAAAATTATGAATGGTGACGTGTGGTGTTTTTCGAAGTCATTTAACTTTTATAGATAAAAATACAAAGATCGATTGTATTTCCTTTTTTTTTTGATATTTATATTTGATTTTTAATAATAGAAAATCAATTTTTAATATGTTTTAACTATTGTAACTATATTTATTAATACTAATAGATAAATTCTTAGGTAATATATGTATAGTGATAGTATTTTTATGTACATATACTTACAGAAAGCAGCAACAATTCCAAGAACTCTAACACCATATTTTAAATACCATGGTGCTCCATCAGGAGGTGCTGTTTCATCACTAGGTCTAGCCAATAAGCTAGTAAACTTTTCCGCAATTCCAGCCTTTAAGACAAAATACAAACCGAAATTTTAAAAACTGTTTAACAAACTACTTCAAAATATTTTCACAATAATTCAAAATGAAAATTTAATGACACAAAGCAAATTTTTTTTTTTCTATTGAAATGAAAAATTTTTAATTACCATAATTTTATCCTTTTAATTTATTCAACAACAATCAATATTTTAAATTTATTGAATTAACAATTTCCAGAATATTTAATATTAGCACAAATATTTTTTTTCCCTGATAAAATATAAAAAAAAAACTGGAATAAAAATTTTTTAAATTCACACTTATCTTTTGATATTTTTCTTTTTTTGAAACATAATCAATTGACAACGATTAGAGAAAAATTTCTGATTATTCATATACGCATGAAGCAAATTTATCAAATATGTGTATGTGTATGTTTTAATGTCATTAAGTATCAAATGTCAAATGTAACAACTTTCACTGCGACATCTATTGTACGTTTCAGTTTTCTCATTAAAAATTTGTAATTTCATACATTTAAATATAAATATCAAAATACAATATAAATACATAATATTAAAATATAAATAATTTATATGATATTAAGTTTTTTTATAAATAAAGATAAATACAAAATTTTTATATTAGGTTCCTTCATGAATCCAAAATTAAAAAATTAACTCAGTTCAATTTCAATACATTAAGTCTCATGTCTAGTTTTAGAACTAGCTCGATTAACAAATAACTGAGCTATATATATTTATGTTAAATTAACTAACTGAGTTAAACTATAGTATGGCCTTCTGAAGAACCAGTCATTTAAAAACAAAATATTACACATGTCAATTTTTTTACATTTTATAAATTTACATGTAAATTCATCATGTAAATTTTTGTTATTTTCACATGATAAAAGTAAATATATTAGATATAAAAGTAAAGAAGAACTTGTTCATACAAATCGTATAAACAAGTTCTTGGAAATGAAAAAATGTAGAACGCTACCCTATTAAAATTACATTATTAGAAAACTTGTGACTTAATCGAGGTGAAATATAAATTTTACTATAACTGTCAATGTCAAATTACAAAAATAAATTGTAGTGGTGAGTAGTCGGATTTCATCGTGTTTTAATGAAAAAAGATTTTGCGGAAATTAAATAATAATAAAATAGAGAATAGGTTTAGTTATTTTTTTCTTTTTTGATTCAATCCATTCATTGGCAGAAATTCTCTCTTATTAATTGGCAGAAACAAAAAAAAAGTTAAATTTATATTTTTGATTCTCGATTACGCAAACAATTTTTGTTAAAAATAATGGAAATCAATAAAACAACGATTGGAATCGCGGCTGGTGTTGCTGGTACATTATTTTTGGGATACTGCATTTATTTTGATAAGAAAAGACGTAGTGATCCTGAGTACAAAAAGAAAGTGCGAGAACGTAAGTTTATTAAATTAAAAAATGTGTTTTACCCGGAATAAAATGAATCAAAATTTAAATGATGCTTTTTAGGAAGACGTCGCCAAAAGAAAGCTGGAGCAAAGAATGATTTACCAAATTTCCATGACCAAGAAGCAATTGAAAGGTTAGTCCAAATTTTTTCAAAAAGTATATTAAATAAGATAAATCTATGAAAAATAACTTTTGGAGGTTATATTTTCTTGATCAAATGGTTAAAACTTTGAGTATGTAAGTAGGTGTGTAGGTATGTTTTTTCATAACATATGCGGATAATTAAAGGGATAAGAGGACATTTTTTGATTATGTAATATGTTTCAATGTTATTTGAAAAAAGAAAGGAAAATTATAATTTCAATATTCTTTTCAAGGATATATGAAAAAAATCAATAAAAATAAATTTTTTTTCATGCTTTTTATATAATTGCTAATTAGGAGATGATTCATATTTTTTTTTTGAAAAAATGATTTTGCAACTGCTAAACTTAATTACATTTAACAAATTGTAATCGAGCTGAAAAACATGTAATCTATTATTAAAACTAATTCAAAAATAGCAGTAATTTTTAATATAAATTTTATGCATGGTGACAATTTTATTGCTACGAGTATTTAAAAACATCACGCAATTAGGATATAAAAATATTTTTGTTTTGTTCATCAAGATTTTTAAATAGATTTCTTTTGTCGGTCATTGACATAACTACTTTACCCACAAAAGTATCAAAGGCTTTGTTTATTTTTGATATTTTTGTTGATATCAAAGAATTTTTTTAAAAAATTGTTATTTTATTTTAATGTGAATTTTTCTCTTATTAATGAAATAGTATTTTATATTAAAATGCGCAATAACATATACATATACTTAATTAAAACTGTATCAAATATCTACAAATACCTTACCCGATTTTAATATTACGTTCTATTACGTTCACTTTTTATATTGTGCCAGTGTACAATATTTTCATTACTTTTTTTAAAATACCTTTAAATTACAAGATTAACCACTTTTTATGTATAAGATATTTTATAATAAGCTACTTTTTTTTATTTTAGATACTTCCTTCAAGAAATTCAATTGGGTGAGACTTTAATTGCAACCGGTGATTTTGAAAAAGGTGTTGAACATTTGGCAAACGCAATTGTTGTTTGCGGTCAACCAACAAAATTATTACAAATTTTGCAAAAATCACTGCCAGCTCAAGTGTTTGCAATGTTAATTCAAAAAATGCAAGAATTAGGAAGTCGAACTGCAGCATCTGAAGATAAGGGACCTAGAATTGTTGCTGCAAGTAGTTCATCCAAATCAGTTGATCCAGCTGCTGCAGCTATGATGGCTGGTCTTGGTGGTGACATTGTTATTGGTGTTCCACCAGGAGCCAGTCTTGATGACTTGGAATAGATTTTAAATTCATCCCAAAAATAAACCAAACTAGCAAAAAATTGAAATGGAAACTTATAAGTAGTTTCATTTCAAATCAAAATTAAAAAAAAAAAAATCATTCTAAAGTTAGTTTATCACCTTCGTTTTTCTTTTTTATTTAAATATTTCTTTCAAAAAAAATTTATATTTAAATTGGAACAAAAAAAAAATAAATTTACATATTAAGAATATAGATATACAAAATACGTATACTGAACACTACAAACTTAATTTTTAATGCAAAAAAATGTATGGAAAAATAAAATTAAAATTTGAAATTGATTATTTTCTAAAGAAAATATTATTAAATTTGAAAAAATTTCTCGAGTTATAAATTTACTTGATAAAAAAGGAAAATATGTACATTTTATGTACAGCAAATCAGTTTTAACTACAGTTGACAAAATAAATTTTTGTTAAGTCTTACAAGAACTAGGAAGCTAATATAATTCAATAAATTAAAAATTTTTGAACAATTTTTTATTTTTACTTTTTGTTTTGTTTTTATAATAATAAGAAAGAAACCCATTAATTTCTTAATCTTCTCATTTTTTTCTCGAATAAAATCTTGCAAAATGGGCAAATTTGTCTTGAATTTATAAATCATATGAATACCAAAAAAAAAAAAACACATAATATACAAGCGAACTATAAAATATAAGCTAAACATCACTTATAATAAGTATGAATGAATAATTTCAAATTATCGCAATTATTTGCAGCGAAAAAAATACGCTTTTTAAAAAAAAATCATATCATTTCGCTGAAAAACAACATTGTAATACAAAATTTGTATAATTATATATTGCAACAATAAGGAATAATCCTTATATTGAAATATGATATGCATTGAAATTCAATTGTATTTTTCCCTAAACGTTTTCATAAAATGTTTACAACAAAATTTTTTATAAAATTTTAATTTGTGACCATTCAATTTTTCATCTTATTTGTGAAATACATAATATATTGATGAGTTTTCGAATACTATCATAACAATTAACTTAAAATTTTCAAATTATTGTACAAATAAGGGAAAAATTTCAGTTTGAATTCATTTTCTTTAACATCAACAATAAAAAATCAAGATTTGAATAATTGTAGTTGTTACGTTCTAAAATAAATTTATTAAGAAACCATATTTTTAAAGTATGTAATTACTTTTCTTTAGATAAAAAAAAAAAAAAAACTTTTAAATACGGATGGAAATTCAAGTTTTGCTTCAAGAGCCTTTATTTGCATGCTAAAAGTAATTTTAAGCTTGGCTTGAATTTGAGAGTAAAGAAATTAACGAAAGAGTTATGCATGCCTTCTTTATGGTTTCGATTTGTTTAATTTATTGAATTTATGTAATTATATAATCCGTAAGTTCATAATTAACAAATCAGCTTGAAACAAATCTAGAATTTTCACGGAAATTAAGAAAAAAAAAAAACAAAATGTTAAAATAAGTAATTTAATTAAATGTTACTTAGTTTTAAGGAAAAATTTGTGAAATCACTCTTTGAATTCCGATTTAATTTTATTCTTTTCAATCATAACTAAAATTTTGAATCACTATTTTATTTTATTATCAAATTTTCGCTTTCATATTGAATTTTTTTCCTTTTTTTTCAAATTTTACATTCTTAACGAAATGTACAAAATTAAAAATTTTTAAATAATTATAGTATAAAAGTTACTGAACAACTACTATCTAATCTGCTAATTCAAAACTCATATAATAATGGTGAAATATAAATTGTTTGAATATTTCAAAAAATTCATTCCTTCACTTCATGGTTTATTACATTACATTAAAACTTATATTTCTAATATTTAATCTCCATCCTTCTCTAATAATATTTATCTATTAGCTGACGAAAATTATAAAATAAAAATTTAATCTGAAAAATTTAATCTTTTAAATTCTCTAGCATAAAATAAATTTTTTTACATCTTTAAATAATATTTTTATTTTAAATGGTCTGTAATTAAATTATTGACTTCTGTTGTGAAAATTTATCAATTTGTAAATGTTTTAATTGTTTATATTATAATTAAAATCAATGTGTAATTAAATAAAAAAAAAAAAAAAAAATAGAACAAAAAGAGAATGGGTGGTAATAAAAAATATAAAATATATTTCATTAAAGAATTTGTCTTTTTATTTAAAATTAACAATTTATACAAAATTGTTTTTTTTTTCTTTTTGCTTAGTTTGTTTAGGTCTGTTGTTGTTGTTAGGTTATAATTAGTAAATTTCTATTTAAATAGTATATATTTTAGACCAATCCAATGAGCGGCAAATAAGAGAAATATCGCAGAAGTTTTAATTTATTTACTTATTATTTAAGTCTATCAAAATAGAATTTTAGTCGAAATAATAAATACCTTTAATCATTTTTACAAAAAAACATGCACCAGAAATAAAATTTTTATCAAAAAAGAAAATCCCATAATCAGGACTAGCTCAATTTTCCTGTACGGTTTCAAAGCTTCAAAATTAAAAATTAAGGTCTTCAATCGGTTTTTTTCATCCCAATTATTTCATATTCATCAGCTTTGATTTAAAAGTGGGTAAAATAGATTACTGAAAAAATGATATTCGGAATAAAGCTATTAGACTAGAGGAAACTGTTGAAAACATTTGAATACTTACAATCTTATAAGGAAATTCACTTCCTTGTTTTACTATCGAAATATGTCGAACAACATTTATTTCGGAAGTCAAGTCAAATTATCTTTGAACTTTTTCTGTAATAAAAATTCTGGCTTAATCGATTACAAAAAGAAAAAAGTTTGTAATAAAAAAAATATCCGATAATTAAATTAAAATGTTTATTTCATTCATAATTAAAAAAAAAAAATTTTCATTTCCAACATTTCATAAAATAAAATATTTTTGTTTTTTTTTTTTTCTTTTTTGTGTAGTTTCTAAACAAATTGTTAGGAAACTCTTGGTTTTTCTCTTTTTATAATTCACAAATTTAAAAAAAAAAATTAAAATTAAAAAATATGCTTAAGATTAAATTTATTAATTATTATATATAAAAGTAAATTGTCTTTTTTTTATTAATCAGTTTTTTTTTTTGGTTTTTTATTTTAAATTTATAATTATTTTTAATATACTTTTTCTCTTAAAACACGACATTTTAATATTTTAATATTATTTAATTAGAAATTTTTATTATTTACTAATTTTTAAAATATTTATAAATTAATTTTTGAACATACTTTAGAATATAATTTTTTTTTTCTAATGAAGACAGAATGCTAAAACAGATTAATTAATTTTCAAATAATTTTATAATTGTTTTTTTTTTTAAGTCATTTTAATTAAAATTGGTATATTTTTTTTTTTTTTGTAAATTTGGCACTTTATTAAATGCAATTTCAATTACTATTGTTTAAGTAAATTTTTATTTTATTTTTATTTTTAATTGAAATAACCAAAAATTATTCATTAATCTATATTTTAATTAATGTATTTGAAATATATTCGAAATTATTTTCTCTATTTAACTATGATGACTTGTAAAAAATAGAAAATTAATAATTTTTTTAAACTTTTTATTTATTATTATTAATAATATTTATAATATTGTTAATATTATTAACAATAATTATCGATTTTAAATATTAAAATAAATTTTTTGTAATAAGCATTTTTTATATTTTTTAACTTTTGCAATTAATAAGATAAAATTTCTTGTTAAAATAACAAAATGAAAAAGAAATTGAGAAGCAAAAATTATCATTAAACTTAAATGACATTGATAATTAATTGACAAACAAAATATTTTTAAGCATATTTTATGGACAAGGGATTTTCGTTTATTGGCACTACGTTAGAAGTACTACAATGGAACTTGAATTTCTAAGGCAGGTGGAATAGCACGTAAAAAATTCAAATCATTTTTCTTTTTTATGTTTACGAAGTCTGCAATAATACTGAAATTTTTGAATAGTCAGTCGTTCGAAAATGATATTGTTATGAAAATTGAAATTTTGAAATATCAATATTTTTTAATTAAAAAAATAAAATAAAGAAAATAATTAAAATTAGATATCTGCGCTATATTTTTTACAATTCTTTTATTACAAATGAATTAACGAAAGCCCCCATAATATGATGATAATTTACATAAATGAAAAATAGACGAGATATTTATTATTCATCTAATTCCCAATACAAAATAATTTTCTATTTGTATGCAAAAAAAAGTATTTATATGGATAGCTCCATTTGATGAAACTTTTACTAATTAAAATTTAAAATAATTTTGTTTTTACAATCTGTCTTCATTTATTTTATCATTATGAACTTTTGATTAATTTACGTTATTAATAATTAATAAAAAAACACATTTTTTTTACATTTTAATGTTCTTTTGCTTGCTTTACTTTTTATATATTCTTCATTGTTAGATATTGAATGTGTTGTTATATTTATAATATTATATATATATAATATATTAAATAATTTAAATATATTTATATTTTAAACAAAATACTACTTCTTCTTTCTTATTTCCATTTTTATGTATTTTCTTTATTCTATTGTTTTGCTAATAGAATAGCACCAAATAATTAGATTAAAAAAAAACTAAATAATTAATATCCTTTATTATATAAAGAAATAATATCATTTATATTTTTTTTTTTTAAATAAATTTTTTAATATGAATTAACATTCAATTCAGAAATCATTCTTAACAATATACTTTCCAAACATACAATTATATATATTTTTTAAATTAAATATTTATTTATTATTTAATTAAAAATTTGCAGTAAAATTTAATAAAATTTTAAATTCTAAATTTATTTTTTTTTTCTATTTTTTTCATATTTTGTAAATAAAATTTATTAAAAACTCATATTTTAACTAATTTTTAATAAGTAAACAAAATATTAATATATAATTTATGAAATACTAATAATAATTATTTAATTTTATATTTTTAAATTATTTAATTGAAGTAAAATGATAATGATTTCCATAAAAATTATATTATATTTATTATTTTTAATTTACTGCTGGTTATTATTTATTTGAAATTAGATTTTTTTCTTTTTAAACAAAAATTATTAATTTAAATTTGCAAATAAATGGATAAAAAAAGAAAATATTTCCTAAATAAGTTGAACAAATTTTTGTTTTTTAAGTGGAAACCAAAAAATTGCACATTAATTTAAATGAAATATAAGTTAATTAAAACATTTGTTTAATTAAATTGAAGTTAAACAAATTACTGAAAAGATTCGAATTTTAAGAGTGGGTTTTTTCTATAATTTATTTTTCAATTAATTCAAAATATTCTTATTTTTTATAGTATTTTTTTGGCAAAAAAAAAATTGAATATTGGTAAAAAATTTTTAAAAACTATTTTTGTTACAATCGAACATTATTAATTGAATAGATTTTGCATTTAAACTAACAAATTGAATTTTTATTATTTTATTATATTTTTAATAAATTAAAATTATTCAATTATACGCGCTCTGATTTAATAATTTTAATTTAAACAAAAAATAGATTAAATCTTGGCAATATTAAAAATTTGTTTTTATTTTTCTAAAAATAAAACTTTTTCATCTATTTTTCATTTCGAAATTTAATTTTATCCAATGAATTTGTTCTTGTTAAAGAAATTTTCTATCTTCAAAACTTGATTTATTTTTTTAAGTAAATTTTTTGGCACAATTTGATATTTTATTTTATTTATAATTTTTATATAGAATTTTAAATTTGTAGAATTATTTTAAAGATTAAAAATTTTAAAGATAATTAAAAATTATTTTAAATTATTTTTAATGTTTTAATTTTAATAGAAAATATTATGTATTTTAATAAGCAAGAAAAAAAAATTTTTCATAAGAACATCGTAAATAAATTTTTGCAGAAATTACATTACGAGTATAAATTTTTTAAAATACAAATGTTAAATAAGAAAAAAAAAATTTTTAAAAAATTATTTTTAATAGACAATTTTTTTTCTTCATAATTTCAAATTCGATCATTTTCTAAACCAAGGCCAAATTTATCTTCTTATTTCAATAATTGCAAGAGTAAAAAAGATTAACGTTTCATATTATAAATTATTTATATATAAAAAATTTATTAAATTATTTTGTACAATAATTTAAATTGAATATAAATAGCTAGTTAATATTTACGAGGATTTTCAGTAATTCAGACATACACTGAAAATTCTAAATTAAATTTTAAAAGTCTTTTAACACAAATGTATTTACAAATCTGCTGAAACTGATTATTTTACTTTTCCAGATTTTTAATATATAATATACTCGAGTAATTCTTCAATATCGAAAATTTATAATATTTTTAAAGTAGTTATAAATAGAATTTTAATTTGATTAGAAGACTTCAAGTCTGAATTTGTCAAACGTGCTTTGTATTTAGACCTAAATTAGAACTAATTTAATTAAATTAATTAAATTAGAACTGGAATAAAAAAAAAACCTGGTTTAAAAATGAAAAATCATAAAGATTTTTGAATACATTCTAAATATTTCTCACATTATTATTAAAATTCTAATTTACGTTAATCTTTTTATATCTTCAATTATAATTTTCTTATAATTCTTATAAGATTACTTTATCCATACTTCAATTTTAATACTTATTAAAATTTTTATTTAAAATATTATACCTATAATAGTCAGGGTATCAGGGTAATTTATAAACGTTTCAGTATAATTTAATAAAAAATAAAAATTTATGATTTTTATTTTTTTTCATAATTTTTATTTTTTTTCATAATTTTTATTTTTTTATTTTTTAATATTACTTTTGTTTGAATTTTAATTGTATTTATCTTTAATTATATAATATAAATTTATGATAGCTTACATAAAAAAAAAATTTTTATGGAATATACTAAATATTTTAAAAAATCAGTTCAAAAAGTTTTTTTTTTCTTTTATTCTTTAATTCATAAGTGATTTATCTTAATATTCTTTGTTTTTTGATTAGAAGAATTATAATAAAATGTACATACTATTATTTCTTTGAATTAAAATTAATTAGATATAAGAATATAAAAAAAGTAATTATTTTAAATATTTTCTTTTGTTTTTGTTTTTTTTTTAGAACGAAAACAATATTTTTATTGAATTTATGTAATTAATATGTTTTTGTATTTTCGTTATAAATTTCTGTTTTTAATATTTAATTTTTTCTTTTTTTTTTTTAATTATTTATTTTCTTTTTAATATTATGTATTATATAATATGTTTCATTAATCCGACGGATTCTTCGTATAGCAGTTCTTTAAAGTTTAATATTTCAAGACTCAAAAAAAAAAATAAAGCTGAGCTAAAAATTAAAGAATTTCTTAATATTAAAGTCTCAAAAATTAACAGAAGCTTGTTTTTGGTTAATACTAAATTATTTTAAATTGGCAAATATTCTTATGGTACATATATTTCCAAATTGTGGTACCATTTTCATTATGTTGTTATGTCGAAGCCCAAACACATTCTCTCATCATTTTGCTGGTCGGATTAACTGATTTTCTTTTTTTTGTATGAATAAATTTTGAATCAATTTCACAATTATTATGCTTATAATTGTTTTTATTAAGATTTTTTAATAATTTCATTCTTATCATGAATTTCACTCGTAGCAGTAAAATTTGTAGAAATTACGAAAATAATATCATTAATTTCACTCGTAGCAGTAAAATTTGTAGAAATTACGAAAATAATATCATTAATGTCGAACACAAGAATTTTATTTTCAAAATTCTTAATACGGTAATTAAAAATTCGGATTGTAATGAAAATAAATGTTAAAAGCTTATGAAATACTCTAATGTGGCTGTATTATATCATGTTATCGAAAATTGATTTTTTTTATCGAAAGTAACTTTTTGGTACAGCAAGCTCTCTGAAAATTGAGAAAATTTATCTACTTTAAATACATTTCATAAAAGTAATTTTTCGAATAGATCAAACATGAAAAAGAATCATTGAAATTTTTTTGTGTTAACAGTCATATTTATAAATAAAGTGAGTGAATCTGAACATATCAGTTTCAATTTATTTTTTCATGTATTTTAAACTTAAACAAATTTACAGCTTTTATAAATTAATTACTTTGAAATTGGAAAACTATTATACTGCCATTAAAGATTCTTAATTTAATTTATATTTTTTTAAAATCTATGAGGGAAATTCATGATAGGGCTGTTTCTTCTTTTTCAAAATATTTTAGTTTTAAAATGTTTGATTAAAATATTTAAATTTAAGAATAAATTAGCTAAAATAAAAAATTATCGAAATTCAAATCTACATAAATAATTTTTAATATTATAATCAATAATTGTTTGTAATTATTAATAATAATATTGGAAATTTTACAAATAAGAGCAGTTTAAAACAAAGTGTTTTTCGAAAATTGAAAATGAAGCCATCCATTTTATTACAATATTTTTATAAATATTTGCATTGTGAAATTGAATATGAAAAAAATTATAACTATTTTGTTTTATAATAGTTTTAAAATATTTTTGTTTTACATTAAATAAATTCTAAATTATTACTATTCTGCATTACTAGAACGTAAAATTTTTATATTTTTTATTTATATATATAATTATATATTTTCATTTTTTTTTGTTTTTTTTTTTTGAAAATACATATTTACATTTTTTATCATATCTGAACACTTAAATTTTATAGAATTTTTTTTATTTTTCATATCTTATTCTTTTAAATTTGTACATTTTTAAATGCTACAAATTTACTTTGAATGCTATAATGTTGACTTTCTTCTTATTAAATTTATATTATTAATTATTTTGATAAAAAAAAATTATTTAAAATATGAAAAACTTTTAATATTAATATATAATAAAGAAAACAAAATTATTAATAATAATTAAATTAAATTAAATATACATAATATTATAATTAATTTTTTATTTACATACAAACATAGATTTAAATTTATAAACTTTTTTTTTAAATTCTAGCTAAATAAACTAACTAGACTCTGGGTGGCCGAAAATGTAAATTAGTTGTTTGTTGTGTGGTGTTTGTCGTTGCTGTTGTTAAATTTTCATCACTATTTTTATTTAAACTAATACAACTGATATTAAAACCTTGTATATTTGTGGTATCAGTTATACAACTAGAGCTTGCTCCAGCTACTCCTACAGCTATATTTGATAAAGAAGATGTTGATGTTGTTGCTGCAATTGAAACAATATTACTATTACCTAAAAATAATTTTTCATTATTTGTAGGAAGGATTTGTTGTTGCGATTGTTGTCTATTACAAACTGTTGATGTTGTTATATTAGTATTGTCGCTAATATTTGTACCTACTATTATTGGAGTATTATTATTTGGTGATATACTAGATGGCGGTGTTTGAGAATTACTAACATTTAAAAGAATTTTTAATTCATTATTACTTGATGGATCGACTAATATAACAGATTGATGTTGTGGTTGTTGTTGTGTTACTTGTAAAGATGGAGTCGATTCAGTCGTATCCATTAATATAATAGTTTCTTCATCGATTGAACCACGTCCACCATGATGATTACCACCTAAACTGGTGCTACCGCTACTACTACATGTTCGAGATGCTGGTGTTAAACTAACTTTTGGATGTGGTAGTAATGCTGCAGCAGCTGCTGCTGCTGTTGTTGCATCAAATGATACAGCTCTTGCTTTATTTGCCTTCTTTTGACGGAAACTATTTGAGCGTTGTTGTTGAACGCCCCCACCAGATACACCAGCAGTACCAGCCGCATCTGATGCTGAACTTGGACCATCCATATTATCATTAATAGCTATTGAATGATTACATGTAGAACTATTACAGCAGCAACTACCACCACTACCACTGCTTGTTATTGTTGATTTACCGCCATTTTCTTTATTACGTCGTGAAGATGAGCGATGCGGATGATGTCGTGTATAACGACGTGATGGACGTTTTATGTGAACTGATTCTGCGCTTGCACTCAAGCCGATGTTGCCAACTATTTCATTAATTGTAGTTTTTAAATGCGTAAATTTTTCAAAAAAAAAATTTTTTTTGAAATAAAAAAAAAAGAATAAATAAAAAAAAATAGAGATTAAAATATATTTTAATTTGATATTTTAATAATAATAAAATATATATGTATATAATATGCATAATTATTAAATTAATAAATTGAATTAACATTTATGAAAATATATTTTCGATTTTAATGATTAATTTTATTTGAAATAGTGTAAAATTTAATGTATGAGTTTCCTTAATATTTATTCAATACTCAATTCTATCCTAAATTCATTTAAAATTCTTGTTTTATTATTTATGAACCTATAAGGGGATTAAAATTTTTCTTTTTTGTTTTATTAAAATGCCAAGGGTATAACGCTTTTGCTTGCGATGCTTTTTTTTTCAAAAATTAATAACAAAAATTACAAAATTTTTTCATCATAATTCATGCTGGAATATGGAAAAAAAACGTTAGGGTTAGTTGCTTTGTTTTCTTAAATTTTTGCATGGTTTAATTTAAAATTACATACAATTAAAATTATTTTAGAAAATTAAATTAACACAACACTGAATAAATAATTATTAAAATAAATTTTTGTTAATTATAAATTGTGTAATTTTTTTTTCTTAAATTCTGATCGAATTAATAAATGTTATAGACAAATTAAAAAAAAAATATATTAAAATAAAGAATATTATTAATTAAAATAAATACTTACACATTTAAAATAAAAGTTGAGCACATGGATAATAAAAAAAAAAATTATATAGAATAATCAAAGATTCGAAAATATAAAACAAAACACACACACAATGGGTTATGTCAAATTTTCAATGATGTTAAATTAAAAAGTATAGCGTCTTATTATATATCGAAAAAAAAATTAGTGAAAATTATTATAAAATATAAAATAATTTTTATAATTAAAAGTTTTTAATGTAAAGTGCATGTAGTACACTTTTAAAAAGTTTTAATAAAATTAAAAATTTTAGTCTCTTACAAAGTACAATTCAAATATTGCCCCCCCTGCCCCCTGGAAAATAATAAAGAGAATCTTAAAACACTTCAAAGCATTTTGTTTTTTCTAAAACTTGTTATTTTGGTCATAGAAAATGGTTTGATTTTGGTTGTTGTAAGGGCAAAAATGAAAATATTATTGAATTGCGATTTTCTCAGAAATCATTTTTCGAAAATAAAGAACTTATTTTCATTTTTGTGTTCAGTATAAAGTCGTTATGTAAATGAAATCACTATGATATGTAATCGTGTATCTCTCTATTTTACTCTCCATCACATATTTGTATAGCGAGACCCAGTCAGAAGAAGGTGTATATGACAACCTTTAAGTCATATACACATATTTTTATGTTGCAATTTTCGAGTAAGAAGAACTTTTTCGTATCGTGTATCTCGTTTTTGTTTTTCTTAAACTTATACAAAATTTATTCATTATTTATTCAATTTGTTTTCACAAGGTGATAAATTCTGTCAGTAATTTGAGAACAAATGAAAAAATCTAATTGAAATGAGTCTGAATCTTATTGGAAAAATTAAATATCCATTAAGATATAATGAAAATTTTGATTTGAAAGTAAATAAAAAAATTTGATGAAAAACCGAGATACACAATTAGTCTGTCAATTTATGTGCATATTTGAAATCAATAAAAAACTGATAAAATACAATCTGTTCACAAAATAATGTTAATCACAAAAATTTAACAAAAAAAAAACATGATAACAAACATTAAAATTAAACAATGAAATGAATTTGTAATAATGTGTACTTAGGTAAACTAGGCTAAGAATGTTATTTATTCCTTTAAACTTTCGTTTGCCTTTAATTATATTAAGAGCGTGCAATAGAAATTTATTTTTATATTTTGGTAAATCAAAATTTTTATTGTTCATTTATGAAGTCTTAAAGATATTAAATAACCAAAAAAAAAAAATAGAAAAGAAAATGAACAAAAATTAAAACATACTTTTATTTTTTTTTTAAATAAATTAAATATATTATTCTTTTTATTGATTGTATTAATTAAAAAAAAAATCAAACAGAAATGATCTTTTGAGCTATGTTAAAAGAATTATATATATACGTTATATATGTAGTATATATCATATATGTATGAATAATATGTATTTATTTATATCCTGTATGATTTACAATTAAAAAAAAATAATTAAAAAGTACAAATAAATGAAATTATGTAACATTTTCAACAAATAATTTATTTATACATACATACATGTATGTATAATGGTATGTATACAAAATATGTACAAATATGTATAGTGTATAACAACAAAATTATTATAATTTAAAACTAATTGCTAATACAAAAATATTTTTTTTCCTTAAAAAAATTATTATTAATTTAAATAAATCATATAAATAAAATATAAATCAAGTAAAAAATTTAAAAAACTTTTAAATTTTACCTAAAGAAATTGAGAAATTTTGATTTTCGTGAAAAATAAATTAAAATTAAAAAAATTTAAATAATCGAAATGAGAAATTTGAAAAATCTCAATTTAATAGATAAAAAAAATTCATACAAATAATATTGTTCACGAAATTAACAATGTAGTTTTAATTGAAATTTAATAAAATAACAATATTTATAGATATAGTAAAATTTTATTAGCGTAATAATGAAAATGTTTAATTTTCATCGGAAATTTGACATTGCCTGCAATCATTATTTGATTTTTACCTAAAAAACCTTTAAAATATTATGACTTTTATAATGATATTAAAATATTAAAATCTTAAAATTTTATTAAAAGAAAATTTTGATTATATGGAATATATCTAGTATTTTTATTTTAATATAAAAATTTAACAAAATATCATGATCATTTAACAATGTATCATGAATTGTTTATAATATTAAATTGTAAAATTAGGAATATTTTATATTTTGATTTTCTGTTATTAGTACTCGTAGTTAATTATTTCGGAATATGAATTGGATTTTTGAAAATTCAATTAAAAAAAAGCAATAATAATTGATTTTATTATTTTTATATTTAACAAATACCATAATTAAAAAAACTAATAGAACTATGTAGGTACATTAATTGAAATTCTCATAATTTTAACAGAGTTGATAAATTCCTAATGAATTCTAATAAAATCCTAGTGACATTTTAGTAATACACACAGAAAATGGTCACCGAAAAAGACATTAAATTTTAACAAAAAAAATAAAAAAAAAGTATAATGATAAATCAAAAAAACGAAAACAAAAAGAGAATAAAAAATATTTATTTTTTATTGTTAAGTCAGTCTTTTGTTAACTTTGTTTTTATAATATTCTTAAATTATATTATATTAATTTATTACAAAATTATTTCCTAATTTTATAGAGATCTAAATATTTTCGAAAAATTCTTATAAGTAATTATTAATTGGTTACTCAAACAAAATCTGTTAACTTAAGTTAATTATTTTAATAAGAATCAGTCATATCTGTTGCCATACATATAACCTCTTATATTGTAAAACAGTGTAAGAATAAAATTTGAAATACTTTTTGTTAATTTTAATAAAATATTTGAATAATTATAATTAATTTTTATAAAAATACTCAAATATTTCGGAATTGAAGTTTTAATCACAATATTATGTAGTATAAATTATTTTTTTTTAAAACTTAAAAATTAAATTAGAAACATTTAAGTTTAAAAATAATTAGAAAATTTTTTGCTGAAAAACTTATTAACTTTATTATTTAAAATAATTTTCTAAATTATATTTAATTTTTGAATGAGAAGTAGTAGCTACATTGATACATAAAATAATACTTTTGAGTTTGTTTACTGAAATATTCGATTTTAATTTCAAGTTAATAAATTTTTTTTTTTGAAACTGAATGCCAATTTAGTGTTTTTTTTCGAATTTTATATACGAGTATAACTTTATTATTAATATAATATATAAAATAATATTAATTTTATTTTACCATTATAATAAAGGTATAAAATTATAAATACTGTTGCGATTACACTTTCTAATACTATACATTACTTCTATAAAAATATAAAAGTAACAAAAATTTTGTAAATTTAAGAAATAGTTCACGAAATCAAGGGCCAACTTGGTTACTAGTTGTTTTAAAAAATTTTGTTCATAAACTGATTTAATATTCTTGAAATTTGTTTTATATAAAACAGCAATTAGCATATTGTTAAAACATTTTATGAATCAGGTTTTTCTTTTTGTATTTAATTCAATAGCAAACCCATTAAAAATTAGAATTCGATAATAATACAAACGACTTTTGATTTCGGGCAATACAAAATCTCTACTATTGCTTATTTCTTTTTAAAATTCAAATTGTTATACTACAAATTAGATTAAGAATTTTAAGAACGTTTACTTATTTTTATTGTTTAAATATGAATGTGTGCCTATTTACAACTAATAATGTTATTATTTTGTAAGTTAAATTTGAAATGAAATTAGCGAGTAATTAGAGCAATTTTCATTTTAATGTTTTTGCTGTCTTATACTTGGTAGTAAGTGAAAAATGAAAAAAGTTTTGCATGCAAAATTTTTTCCTATCTTCTTTTTTTAAAACATAGATTGGCAAGCAGATCAATTTCTTAAATTAGACAATAAAAAATATTTACAAAATGTTAAAAATTATAAAACAAAAATATTTTTATAAAAATACATACAATATAAACAAGAAAAGAGCGTTATAATTTTATACAGCAAAAGCTTATGTTTGTCTTTTTCGGGATACACGAGTATAAAAATTTTGTCATATTTTGCTTTTATATCTTAAATAATTTTTAAAATAAAAAGTCAAGCACAGTAAATAATATTGAAATAAATGTTGATTCATTTCGATTGTTATTTGTTCCAGCACGACTGCTGGTATTGCTACTTCGATTATTTCTAAATCGTTCTAAGTGCTGTGCTGAATAATAATGTCGGCGATCATAACTATCATTATTAATATTATTGTTATGATTATTACTATTACTACTACTACTACTACGATGATGATGATGGTGATGATGATGATGATGTTGTTGTTGTGCTCTATGACGGTGATGATGATGATGATGATGTCGACGATGATTATGAGATTCTTGTTGTTGATTATTTGTTAAAATATAATTTGCATCAAAAGAAGGATTTTCTTCATACTGTTGCTGCAATGATTCTTGTTCTTGTTGATGTCGTATTCGCAATTGTTCTTCATATTGCTGTTGTGCTTGATTTGTTAAATCAAATAATTGTCTTTCATGACGATTACATGTATAACGGGTCCGTCTACGAAAATTACGATGTGCAGCTACAGTATACTGCGAAGAAGCTGTTATGGCATAATCAACAATTTCGTTATTGTGATGTTCATCATCACTACTAAAACGATAACTACTATTAATTGTTGCTGATGTATTTGTTGTTGGAATGGTTGTAGATGCTGTTGTTGTTGCATTTGCATTTGTGTTTATTATATTATTGGAATCGTTTAATGAAAATGAATAATTACTATCATCAGCACTACCACCATCAAATGTTGTACTACAGCAACTGCTAGAACCACCAATACCATTACAAATATCACTATAATTATTTGATTGAATATTAATACAACTATTAGTGGTATAGTGTAATTGATTATTTCGATCGTGTTCATTACAAGTGGTACCATTTAATAAAAGCACTGAGCTAGCTAAAGACGATGAAGCAATTGATTCATTATCGTCAGAAATATGATTAGGGTGAGCACGATGAATGTCATGGTTTCTATTCAATATACATTCATCATCATCAGAAGATGAATTTTGTTCTAAAATGCTACCAATTGGACTACGAATTATGACACGTGGACCATCACCTTGACTTTGCTCTATACGACTTATTATGGACGGAACGCCAATTGATGAAAATGCAACCCCACACCGATTATTGTCACTATTGCTATCATTACAATTACTAGAGGGATAAGTTGTAAAATTCGGATAACACGGTATATTTATTGAAGAATTATCAGAATTGTTAGTAGTTTCAGTTTCAGTGGTATTTGCTGGGTTATTGATATTTCTAGTGTTGGTGGTAGTGCTACTTTCAGTAGGGATAGTAGTTGCAATTGTAGTAGTAATTGGTGCTATAATATTGACATTATTATATTTTTCTATATACACTGGAGATGATGTGGAATTATTTAAATGGGGAGAATGACAATGATTATTGTGATCATAATTGAAATCGTGCAAATTATCGTGCATTAACATTTGACTAGCATTACTAATATTATTTATATTATTACTTAAATTGTTATTACTATTAATATTATGGATAATAAAATTGTTTTTGATATTTGCATTAGCATTAAGCATTTGATTTGAATAACTACCAGATATTGGTGGAAAATTTGTATCCATGGGCATCATAAGATTTCCACCAGCAGTATAGTATCCTGAAGTCGTACCAGATGTCGTAATGTTATTACCACTGCTACCAATTAAATCATGTCTACCATGTAAACCACCACCAGCTGAACTACTACCACCTCCAGTACTTATCGAATCTTGCTCATCACCTGATGAAATATCCATTCTTTGCGGATGATGAACTTGTAAATATTGTTGATTTTGATATTGTAATTGATGTTGTTGTTGCTGCTGTTGCTGCTGATGTTGTTGTTGAGCGTGATGATGGAGCATCAATAACATTGCATTATTAGTTAAATGTTCATTATGCTCTTGAACGTCATTTGTACTACCACCAAAGAATTGTGGATAAGCATCAGAAAGAGTGCTACCCAAACGTGATGATTCTAAAAACCATTCAGAGCGTGTACGCATACGTGCCCGTTGCCTTTCATGAACCTTATGTATAGGATCCAAAAAATGAAGAACATCAGGTGATTTTGATTCAAGTTTTGAAGAAGATAAAGTTAATGACGGAGATAGAGGAGTGATAAGAGAAGGTGGTATTGTAGGAGTACATGAAGCACATGAAGAAGCGTATTTAAATAATTTTTGTGTAGGTTTTTGTAGATCAAATAGAAAAGAAGAGTTTATTGATTCATCAATTTGTTTTGTATTTTTTTGTTGTATTTGTTGTTTTATATTTGATGTACCATTTAAAGTTAAACAATTAAAATTTGAAAAAGATGGTGATTGTAATTGAAATAACATTTTTTTTATGTTGTGGTGGTGCATATGATGAAATAGAATTTAATACATTTGATGAAATTTTTAACAAAGATGACAATAATGATGATGAGGATGATGGTGATGATGATATTTGCAATGATAATAATGATTCGGACGTTGGCAATTTTTCCGAAGTTATTGAATCAAGATGATTAGGATGTGCATATGTTATTTGTGATGATGTTGTATCAGGTTTAAGTTGTTTTTGTCCAAAATTATGATTGATTGTAAAAGATGTTGAGGATGATAATGATGACAATGATGTAGGCAATGATGATAATTTTGATATTGAAGTAATCGATGTTGTAGTTTCAAAAGTGAACTGAATTTTAATACTTGTTTTTTTTCTTTATTTATATATAGTTTATATAATAATATATAAAATGTCAAAAGATTAAAATTTGCAAAAGTGACAAAAAAAATTAAATTTTAGGAAATTGAAAACATCTAACATAACATAAACATTTAGCATTATTCAAAATAAATAAAATTAAATGAAAATCAAAAAAGGTAGGTATTATAAAAGAGTTTGGTGAGTTTCTCTTATTAAGTATGTGTCAAGTTATATAGAATATTTTCATTAACAGTCTTTCAAGCAAATAATTTTCCCTAATGATTGAAAATACGTAATTTACATTTCTTTTTTTAAAAACATAATTTTAAGTAATTGAAAATTTTAAAATATAATGTAAAAATAAAGGTATTTTGTACTCCAAAATTCAATAGACGAAGTTTGATAATATCGTAAAATGCGATTGTCACATACTTTAATAAGAATTCAATCTCAACAATCTCCAAGAAAATATAACATTCATAGAGTTTTGATTTGAAAATTTGAGCATGAAATATATACAAGAAATTTGTAGTAAAATTAAGTATTTCACAAGAAAATTCTAACAAAAAAAAAATTGGAAGTAAAATCAAAAAAAATATATGTAATTTGTAATTTAAATTAAGCTGTATATATGGGTGACAATACTGGACACATTAAATATGTAATAATAATTTTAAATAGAAAATATTCTAACTGCGAGAAAGACACAAACAATGAAGAAAATAAAATTTCTTTTTCGCTTTATTTTCTGTTTTATTTTCTACATTGGAAACTAATTTTTACATAAAAAAAAAAAAAACTAAAATATATTTTTATTAAATTTTTCAATTGTTTTATACAAAAACTTTAAATTTATTTTAAGTAATTTTTAATGCCTCGATATAAAAATGAGAAAAAAATGAATTTATTATACTAATTTTATTATTATAACAAAAGTTAATTTTGTATACATATAACTTATAATTTAAATCAATCGAAAGTAATAAAATATTTTATACAAAAGCATAGTTATATAATAAAATATATTTGTACAACTATGTATTTTTAGATAATTTTTGTGATACAACGATAAATATTTTTGTTATAACAATTAAATAAGAAATAAATAATTTCTAAAAGTACTCAATTCTTGGTATTGGTCCATGTCGTATGAGCCTCAAAGTTAATTTGCCATACAGAGTTTTTATTTTAATTATAAAAAAACATATTTAGAATAATGAAGCCAATATTTAATCGAAACAAAATTTATTTAAATTTTGACTTTGTTTTGTTTAAATTTACTTTTAACATTTAGATTATAATATTTTCTTTAAAGAATTTAATTCATCTCGAAAACAATTTCATTCCTGCCGCTTAAATTTCAAATAAATATTATAAGTTTGTACATACAACAGTCATATTGAAAAATAATATAAATAGTCACCAATTTTCCATGTATGTGGCTATAATAATTTTTATTAAGATTAAAATTTTTCCTCATTTCGAGTAATTTCTATTTATTCAATTCAATTAAAATATTGTAATTTACCATAAGCTGTTAAAATTTTAGTAAGTATAAAATTTTTAGAATTTCAAGAATATTTTTACTTTTTAATTTTTCTTCACTAAATAACCATAATGTCACTTCTTATGAGATTCATTTTCTTATGACATATTTCGAATTGTCATTGAATGCATAAAACTTCATTATACATGCCCTCATGAACTAAAATTTTGAAACTTTTTTTTTTTTAAATAATTTAAAACTATTGACGCAGGGATAAAGCTCCATAAATAAAAGAGAAATATTTTAATAAGTACATTATTAGTATATAATACTTAATGCTCAATGTATTGTTATATATGTATATGTCAATCTAAATTAAATTTTAAACGTCAATTCTAAGAATAAAATCATATTAAATTGAATACAAAATGTTATAATAGCAAATTAATATATAAACATTACATGACGTTTATATAAATGTCAAAGTCAAAAATAAAAATACTTTTAAAAATTATTAGCAAATTTTGTACAACATAAAATTTATATTATATATATAAAAATTAAAGGAAATCTTAAACTACAGATAGAAATTATAAGTGATAAAACAAACAAAAAAGTTTTACAAATCAAAATTTATAAATATTAAATGATCATACATACATATTATAATAAATGAATAACAAAAAAAAAAACATATGACTTTATAAATTGCACACATTCTTTCACCGAGAATTCACCGAATTCATACAATATAAAATTCATTATAAACATGTCATATATTATATTTTATTAATAATTTTTTTTTTTATTTAAAGAAAAAGAACAAAAGAGTTTTCCAAATTTGAATGTTATTAAATTAAAAAAAAAAAAAAATAATAATTTTGTTTCATTATTAATAGATTATATAAATCAAATTTTGTTGGTTACATAATAATTAATTAATTTAATTTAAAGTTTAGAGGAACAGAAATAAGTAAGTAACATAATAAAAAAATTAATCTTAGTTTTTGTAAAAAAAGAAAAATATTATTTGTTTTGGTTTTTAATTCTAATTTAAATTTTTAATGAATATGAAATTATAATAAATTCTTAATGATATCTAAAATATTTGATCTTCTAAAATGTTATAATATTAATTTTTATTAATTTTTGTTAGTAAAATTTGCATACATTACAAAACAAAGTTTTTTAAATTGTTATAATATTGCATAATGTTATATTAATTTATAAAATATGATTTAAATTTAATACATATAAAATTTCTTAACACGAAAAATAAATCATTTTATTATTAAACAATAAGTATATAAAACAAAAAACACATAAAACAAAAATAAAATGAATTAAAAAAAAAAAAACAAAGGCGATAAAATGTTAATTAAAAAAAAAAAGTTTATTTATTATCTTTGGTTTCAATAAAATATTTCAGTTCCATTTTGTAATTTGTCAATTTCATGGTTCCAAATAGTTAGGTTATTTGCAAAACAAATATTCTAATATACTATTGAAAATCCTTTAAAAATTCAATTATAATTTAATTAGAATATATAGCTTACTTTGAATATTAAATAAATTTTTATTAATATTTTGAGAACTGAAGTATTATATTAAAAAAATAAGTCTATAGTAAATATATTTGTATAAAAACAATTATTTCTTTGACTTACATTAAAAACAAAAATATATATTAACCCTTAATCACTACACATTTTGTTTTCAGGACATGTGTAAAATGTTTTAATTGAAAATTATTAGCTTGTACTTGTATGTTAGTACAAGTTATAATTTTTGATAAACATATTGTGTAATAATAATAGTACTTAATATGATCAATTTTTTTAACTTTTTATATAAGATTTGTAATATTCATTTCAAATTATTATCAAATTGATTATTGCTTTTTGTAACAATTTATATTTTAATTCTATTTTGATATTGCAAAAAATTATAGTAATTTCAAATTAACTTATTTGAGTCTAACATTGATGTCAATGAAAAATAATCCTATTTATATTTTAAATTTTAATTTGCAAATTTAATATTTGATTGGTTAGAAATGACATTTAATACAAAAAGATTTTGATTTTTCGACATTTGAATTATTTAAAAAACATATTTTATGACCTTATGTATAACAGAAATCGCATCAAAAGTTGTTTCATATAATAGATGACAATATTAAGAAACGTAATATATATTTTAAGATCATAATTTCAAATCAAACAGTATATTAATTAGAGAAAACAAAAATATACCAATGTAAATAAGTTATGTGTAGTATGATAAGGGTTAACGTCTTTAATGAAACGTTATAATAATTATTATTATTTTTACTCGTAATTCTTATAGAAAAATAAAAAAAAATTATTTAAAATTTTAAAAAAAAAATATAGCAAATTATTATTAATTTTTAATATGTATTATACTAAAATTCATTTTCATTTATTTTTAATTTTTTACATATAATATACTTTATTCAATGAAGAGAAATAAAATGTAAATTAAATGTATTTGAAGAATAACTATAAAATTTAAACAATTAAACTATATGAAAGCACCCATATTGCCAGCATAACTATAATATATTTATATATTAATTAAATTTAATTTCTTTTTTTAGAAAATTTTAAAAAAAAAAAAGGCGAGATTGAAAGGAAAAAGAGAAAAATTATATTGCTTATATTATTTATTTTCAAAATTAAATTAAAATTTGAGAAACGATTTTTATTTAAAAGTTTTTCATTACAAAAAATTTATGCATATATATAAAGTTTTTTCCTATTTGAACATTTATATAAATATATTTAAAAAAAACACTCAAATATAAAATTAATCTAAATAAAATAGGCCTTTATTATATAATATATTTTATAATACAAGAATATAATTATGACGAAAAAAAAAAATATGAATAGAAAAAAACAATAGTGAAATTTTATTTAAAATTACTAAACATTATGAAGAATCCAGTATAAGTACTATAAATTATTTTTATATAATGGAATTTATTTAAGAAGAAAAATAAAGTTTAAATTCAATTATTTTAAACGGAATAAATACTTTTATACAATATATATGTTTAAAAACAAAAATATTTTAGGAATGAGAAGTAAAAAAAAAAAATAAATAAATATTTGCAAAATTATGTAGTTTTTATAAAGAAATTTTTATTTAAAAATGTCATAAATTAATTTTGTGCATTTTTTTATGCCAAAATTTATTGAAATTTATTTTTTAAATGTCAAAATTCGGAATGAATTTAAAACTCAAGAAAATTTTGTTGATCTTACAAAATTTATTTTAATATAAAATTTCAACAATAATTTAATAAGTATTGTGAATGATATTAATACCAAATATAAGAATATTTTCATTTGTCAAAATTTTTTTTTTTCAAAAGTTTGAAGCAATTGAAAAAGTTTAAAAAGTTTGGAATGAAATAACTAAATACTCAGAATCACAAAAAATATTAATATTTTTTAATTACATTTTTTGATACCAACCATAAATAATTCACAATCTTATAGTTTATAGTAAAATAAATGGTTACTAATCATAATTAGCTACAACCATTTTCAATTTATTCATTTTATGACATTTTCTAAACTATTACTGTCAACAAAGCTGGAACGCTTCTTTTTTAAATTGACATATTATGTAATAAATTACTTTTGACATTAATTTATGACATTTCTAAAAAAAAAAAAAAAAAACAAATATTTAATTAAAGAGAAATAATTAATTTTAAAAATAGCTATGTAGATAATATTAAGTATATAGAGAATTTTATTAATTTATATTTACTTTTAATATAATTTTGAAATATGTAATTTTGAAAAAATCAAAAAAAAAAAAAAATGTTATTCTTTTTTTAATAATATTTTAATAATAAAATTGTTTTTTTACGAAAACTTCTTTACAACAAAAGGGAAAAAAAATTTTTTTTTATTTATTTTTCATTTAAACTGAAACTTGTGAAGATGCAAAATAATAATCCACCATGCTCACCTGTGGCAAATATGATAAACTTTTTGTACTTTCGGCATAACGATTAACAGCTCTTAATTCATCCATAGTCATATGATGATGACTGCCAGCTGCTGATGCTGATTTCGAGGAACGTGTTGATGAACAACTTGAGGAATGTTTAATACCATTACTGCCATTGTTACTATTATTGCTGCCGCCGCCGCCACCACTGCCTCCTCTATTACCACTAACATCAGCACTAACTATTCCAATGCCACTAACATTACCACCAATTGTTGCTACTGTTAATGTTCCAGCTGTTGTTGGTGTTGTTACTTTACTACTACTATTATTATTATTATTATTATTATTACCATTTGAACTAGAAGAATGTTTTAATTGTTCTGTTGATGATTGTTTTGATTGTTGTACAGCAGCTGCTGCTGCAGCTAATGCAACAGCTGTAGCTGCTATCTGTTGTTGGTGTTGTTGTGGCTGTTGTTGCTGCTGTTTTTGCTGTTGTTGTTGATTTTGTGATGTTTGGGATAGATTATCTCCACTACCAGCTGAAAATACACCCGGTCCTTCCAACGATACTGATAATCGGGCACATGATTCTAATAGAGATAATTCTGGAATGATACCAAGCGAGAGGGCACTATTACCAATGGCCGAACTTGAGCTGGTCAATAGAGCTGGTGTTGATTGCGATTCTTCTTGAGCAACTACTTGAGCCGAACCGAGAATTTTTTTTATTTGTTCGAATTTCAATACGTTTTTTTTTTGTCAATATATTTTTTGTTTTGTTTCGTTAGGGAAGAAAATTTGACATTGTTTTTTGTTTTTTTTTTTTTTTTGATAAAATTATTTGTCATATCATTTTGTTTGTTGCATTTTTTTTTGATTAATTTTGTTATATAATTTTTTATATATTTGTTCCAAAAAATATCGAGTTTGTTTAATTTTTTTTGTTTTTTTTTTTTGGTTACGGCACAAGAGTTTCAAATGAAAATTAATTTATTTTTTATATTTTGGATTTTTGGAAATGTGTTTTTTTTTTGGTTTATTTATTTGTTTTATGATTTGATTTAAAAAATTGGATGCGCGTGAAAAAAAGGAAATATAATTGTTAAAATTAAGAAATAATAAAAATGTGAAAATTTATTTAAAAAAAAAATATGTATATATTTAAATATAATGTATTTAGAAGATTATACATTAATATCTTTTAAATAATTAAAAAAAAAATACAGAAACATTCACACGAAAGTGTTGATAGGTAACAGAAGCGACTGTTTTTGAAAAGTGAAATAAGAATTTGTCTTATTCTTTCTTCCTTTTTCTTTTATTCAAAAGTTCAATGCATCGAAATTAAAAGAATCGATTGATTTGTTTTGCTTTGTAAACAATTAATATCACAGTTTTTGATGTTTTTTTTTTTAAATATAGTGTTTATACACAAAAACAAAAATTCCCATTATTAAATTCTAATTTAACAAAATAAAAAATTAATTTTTCATAATAATCTCGGTAAAGTTTTGTGTTCTGAAAAAAATAAATTTTGTATTCATAAATTGTTTAATTCCGATTTAGTATTAATTTTTTATTCAAAAGCCTTAAAATGTTTAAGAAAATTGTTATGTAATTTATGGCAAGTTCATATCCCATGAAGAACAAAGAATCAATACACCTGAATGAGTTTTCAATTTTTGATTTGTGCGATTTATTATATTTTTTTTTTATGAAGAAAATTTTAAAATTAAAACAATTCTTATTTTAAAACTAACATTTTAAAACTATCAGTATTTGCTAATTTATAATTATATTTTTATTATGTTATTAATTTGTAATTTTTATATTTTGAATTATGAGTAAATTAAGTTCAAAATTTAGAATTATGTTAAAGGAAAATAAAGGGATTAAGTGAGGTACATCGATAAAATTTTTGTTGAAAATAGATTCAAGAAAATAGATTCAGATTTCATTAGAATTACATTCATTACTCAGTTAATTATTAATTGTGGGCTAGATCGTAGAATTAAAATTTAATAATATTTCGATTTTTTGCTACCTCAATTATTTTATTTTGCTATAAATTTATTACTCATATCAAATTCATTTCGTGTTTCAAAAATTTATTAGAGATTTTTTTTTTTTATTCACAATTATTTAAAATTATGCAACAGGTACTTTTTTTTAAGGCAAATACTGATTGTTTTTAAGTTAAATATTTGTATATATAGAAGCCCAATAAAATTAAATTTTTGTTATAACCATATATGTAAGTAGTACAATATAAATATTTTATGTAAATGAAAGAAACGTCAGTTTAGCTTTAGACTTACTTAAAAAAAAAATTTATTGAACGTTCACAAAATTTGTAAAAAAGCAAAAAGATGGTGGTACACTGAACTTAAGAAAAAAAAAGAAGAACTTATTTGAAATTTCACTTTCATTCATTTGATTTGGTTTGTTACGTAATGATATGGAAAAAAGAACTGAAAATTCGTGAAATAGTGAATGAACACCAAAACTCCATAGAAAATATTCCAATTAATTTTATTTGAAAAAAAAAAAACAATAATAGAGAATAACAAAACAGATATTAAATAATTATATTTAATAAAACTATTATAGTGAAAGTATGGAGTTAAAAAAAAAAACTTATGTATAGAAAAGAAAATTAAAATAATTTTTTTTTAATTTATAAATGGCATGAAATTAAACACATTTTAGAGAAAAAAAAATAACAGAAATAAAAACATTGAAATGAAATGCAATAAAATTTCTGTAATTTTTTCTTTTTTTAATTTGTTAAACACCAAAAACATTTGTAATTTTAATAAAATCTGCTAAAATTGTAGGATTTTCTATAAATTCTATTACAAATATTTTTATTTAATTCAAAATTTTAATTAATTCAATAATAGCAGATTTTACAAGATTTCAATGTATTTCAAAATGAAGTAAACACAATCATTTCACATATAGAATTGACATTAATAAAACATGAAAACAGGACTTTAGAATGATTAAATTGAGAGTATAACAAACAAAGTTTATGAAAAAAAATAAATAAATAAATAAAGAACCAAAAACGTCACAAATTCAAAACAAACAAAAAAAAAATTTTTTTTTTTTTTTTGGAATACTCACTTAGGCCCCATCTTTCGCATTCACATTGTAACCACGTTTTTTCAGCCTCAAGTGATAATTGAACTAAAAAAATAAAAAAAAAGAAACAAAAAATAAAAAAAAGAAAAAAAAAAGTTTATGAAAAAACTTTTTTAAAAAAAATTGATTTTTTATTTTTTGTTCTCAAAATACTTTTTCATTAAAAAAGACAAAAACAAAACTAATAATGAAATTTATTTTGCATAATTGTAAATTAGTGTATGAAAAAAAAAAACAATTAGTAAATATTCAATTTAGTCCAAATGAAAACCAAAATTATAAACCAATATTTAATTTTTATTTATAAATTATAAATAAAACTAACTGCAGGTAAAAAACTTCAAATTTAAATTATTTTTCAAATAATTTTTGTAAAAATGAAATTTTATTTTCACTTGACACAAAAAAACGCAGCACAATTCCTGTAAAAATCCTCTCAAAAATATCAAAAATAAAACTATTTAGGTATGTATGCAGCGGTATGTAGAGATGATTCGAAAATTCAATAACAGAAGAATATTGGACTCATAATCGATTAAAATAATTTTGACAATTGATACGAGTATAATCAAATTCAATATCTCCCAAATGTCATTCTTCAACTTCTTGACATAAAATTTCAATGTCTTAAACTTTAAAATATTTTGCTGTTTTTTCTTGTCTTTAGCACAAATATTTTTTTAATTTAAAAAAGTCAAAACCAAAAATTTATCAAAAATTACTCGTATCTATAAACCAGAAAACAATTTGAAATATTCTGAAACCGTTTTTCATATTACGTATATTTCAAACAAGTAAGTGAAAACTATTATTCAAATATGCTATTCAAGCATCTTTTTTCTCCAAATAAATTTTTATTTTCAGTGTTTTTGTTATATAATATTTCATATTAATATACATGAACTAGGATGACAGCATCAAGTTGTCAATTTCGCGCTAAACTTTCTTTTTTATGGATATGATAAAACTACGCATAGATTTGCTGTCATGATTAAATGACGTTTCATTTTCTTTGAAATAGAACTAATTGAAGATATTAAAAACAGTATAGCACGGGAAAAATATTAGAGGAATTGTATTTAAAGTATAAGAAAAAGTAGAAGATTAGCTAGATAAAAGGGTGGTTTTGAATTTTTAAAATTTTTTAACTCTATTTCTACCTAAATTTAACTTTCTCACAATATACGTACTTATATCATTTTCGACAATTTTTATGAATTACTGAATAGCTGTAAAATTAACAGAATACATATTACAGACTAACATGACATAGCAATCAAAACAAGAATTACTTTAATTAAAATTGAATTTATAATTAATTTCCATTACCTAAATAATCGTAATTAAATTTACTATTAAACATGAAAAAATGTTATTGTTAAAAAATAAAATTTAAATTAATATACGAAACTTAAAGAACATTAAAAGTAAAACAATAAAACAAAATTTAAAATTTTTATTGTTTTTTTGAAGATGGTTAAAGAAGTTGCTTAAAAAATCTGCAAATTAATTCCAGCTCTAAAAACTATATTGATTAAAGTGTTAATATTTTAGAAAAAAACAAATTCAAAAGATTGTTAATTTTTGTTATTTAATATTAAATTATTTTATGTTATACTCATTTTCATCTCAAAACATATAACTAGACTTACGTGCATAATTTTGTTGAGCTAATTTTCCTCTAGGCGGTGGTGGAAATCTAAAACTACAAATCCATTCATCTTGTACTTTTAATATTCGACCAGTTACACGTGCATAATATTCATAATTTTCGCGTCCAAATAAATCGTATGTGGCAAAATGATCAATCATTTTTTTCATTATTCTTGTTGCTACCTAAACATTTATTTTCCAACATAATTTTTTTTTTTATATAAGAAAAGAATAAAAATAAATACAAAAAAATTTATTAATATCATACAATAAATATAAAAGTTTCAATATTTTATTAATTTTATAATATGTATTTTAATTAAACTAACACAATAATTTTATATAATAGTATATATTTAATTAATTATTTTGGAAAAATGCATTATAATGCAGCAAATTAAATAAAAATGTAAATTATAATAAGAAAAAAACAAAACGAAATATATAATCATATAACAGTTATTCAATTATTTGTATAACAGTTAATTTTTCATGTTAATTCTTTTTACCCGTCCAAAAATAAGTAATAAATATGCCGCATTTCATTTTTCTGTTTCTTAATAATATTGGAATGAAATTTTGCTACATTTCCGGAGTAGTTAATAAACGGCATATGTATTGTTTTATATATATTGAAATCCTACTTTAGGGACATAAAAATTGTCCAAAATTTTAAATGTCAGGAGTATAACATTTAAAAATGAAGAACTACATACCGGACAGCATGTGTAAAATTACAAATGGCAGCTACTTTTTTAAACAGGTTGGGGCACATTAAAATGTTTTTTTTTTAATCCTAGCACACTTTGACTCATTTCAATGTTTTAAGACTCCAAAGTTAATCTTTTCAATATCTTATGGGAAATAATTTTTAACGTTGTTTTCAACAAGTTTAATAATAAAACATTGTTGTTTTTTTTTCATTTTCATTAATTGTAAAACTGTTATACTTAAAACGATTTCGTTATAATATAAATAATAATATGAAAAAATATAATTTAACAAAGCCAATAATAAAGGGATCAATATCATAATTTTTTTGGATGCAATAAACTTGAAAATAAACTTAATATAACAAAATGCAATAAATTCTAGACTTTTTTTTATTTTTTAATTATTTTTTTTTTTTTTTTTGGAAAATTTATAAAACAACATAATGAATAATATCATAAATGCACAAACGCTGTTTGAAATAAAATTTAAAACAAATTTAAAAATAAAAAAATAATTTTGTTTCATTAATTATAATGTTATAATAATTAATTAAAGTAAATATGAATGTAAATGCAATTCGATAAAATTGATAATTTTCATACTAACAAAAAACGGTGTGTGTGTGTATGTATGCTTCTGGGAGGAATAGAAAAAAAAAATACTACAGGATCTTACTAACAATATTCTAAGAGAACAAAGTAAATTTCAATTTAATTATAACAAATTTTGTAAAACCATAGTTCAAAAAAAAAATTAAAAAAATTTATATATTTCAACGGAGATGTATACGGAGGAGGACGAACTTGATATTTTATTAGAATTTAGAAAAATTTTGAAATCTTTAATAGCATTGGCTTTATTTTAACATGCTATTTGATTTATTAATTGCGAAGTTTCAAATATCATTTAAATATGACAACTTTAAATATTTCAACAAGATAAATTTCTTCATTTTTGTTAATTTTCCTAAAGTATACGTATATTTACTACCTTCTATAACAGGTTTAATATGGAAAATGTTTACAATATTGGGGAAATAAAAAAAAAATTTTAATTTTTTTTTTTTATATTTTGAAATATTATGCAAATTTTGAAAATATCACAATGAATATTAAAAATATCCCAAAATTCACAATAATCTTTGAATTAATTTTATTTCAAAATAATATTGTGAATTATTATAAATTTGACGTTTTTATTATAAGACTTTACATAAATTGAACGTGCAAATAATTTTTTTTTCTACATATTTTCAGTTAAATTAAAAAATAAAATTATTAATAAATCGGATTGGACCTTAAAACTATTAAGGAATCCAAACAATTAATTTGCAGAGGCCTAATAAAACTTGATTACCGTGTGTTATGTAATTATATATTGTATATAAGGAACACTTTTATGCACATTTCAAAAGTTACAATACAACATGGTTTCAATATCAAATTCATTTTCATCAGTTCGTACAATATGGACAGCAAAAAAAGAAACAGAAAAAAATATTGTTTAATTAATTTTTTTCCTCTTCAATTTGTGTATAATTAAAAAGGTGTTATAACAATTCAATAAAAGGTTAAATAAATATTCAGGTAATTATTATTTACTTTATTATTTTCAACTATTTTTATATTTTTATTTTCTTTAAGTCTTTGCATTATTTTTCACTTGGATTATTGAATATTCACTGAAGTATAGAAAGAAATTTATTAAGTAAATTTTACGTAATTTACACGCTAAGTAATTGTAAAAAAAAAGTACTGACAATAATGATTTATTAAAATTTATATAATATTTTTATTTTTTATTTAATTACTTAACTTTTTAAGTTTCAATTATGAAATTTTTTTTTGTTAAATTTTCATTTTCGAAGATTTTTTCAAGCTGGAGTTTTGGTAATGGATTTTCATGAATAATTGTAATTGTTTTTTTCCTATAAGTTTGTATATATACACATATATCGTAAAATTAATTAATTTTATTGTAATTTAATTTTTAATTTTTATAATAATTTTATTATCATTATGCTGTACACTTACATAATGAATTTAAATACGTAAATCAAAAAAAAAATTTATGGATTACAAAATTATTTCTTTTATATTTTAATTAATTTTTTTCGTAATTTATATTTAATAATAATTTTAATAATAAATTGACTTGCAAATTATGAACACAATTCAAAAATTATTAAAATGAGTTATTAAATTACAATTCTAATTTTACATATTTTATATGTATAACACACGTTAATATCTTATTATTTCATAAGTTTTTAGGTTCCTCCTCTTATTTGAAATGAAGATTTCGAGAAGAATATACTGGATTGAAGTATCGACAATCATCATTCACCAAATTAAATTATAGTTCGTATTTTTTATTGGAGTTTTTCAAATAACTTAATAATTTCTTGGCGAATAGATATTTGCCTATAAATCATGTGATGCTTATAAATTTAATCGACATACAGTCGAACACGCTTCCTATTGGAATTATTAAATTTTTATGTTAACTTTGTACTAGGAATAACAATGTGTACATATATTAGGAATGTGTTATAACATTGAATATTACTCTTTATTTTCTATATCTTAAGCCTGGTGGGCTCACCAAATTCTTTTTATCATTTAATTATCAAAAATATTCTGTTGTTGTAAGCGAAAATCTATGTGTTCTTACAAATGAACCAAGAATTTTTGTTTATAAGCAAAAACTTTTGTGTTATTAAGCGAGTTGGATTCAAGCATTTTAAGTGCTATGAAGAATTGAATAAATTACACATGGGCAAAAAATGCTATGCGTATTTATAGGAGTTTTGCTTTTATGCGTCTTCGACTGTACAAATTAAAATTTTTTAAAAATTTAGTATATTATGAAAACTTAATTAATTAATGTAAAAAACAAAATTTGATCTTGTGTAAATTTTTGTTTTTGAATTTATTTTAAAATGCTAATTTTTGTTTAGGTTAAGTTTAAGAGGAATTTGTAGGTGCGCAGCATGTTTTTCGTGAAAATCAATCATATTTTAATACTTATAAATTAATAATTAAGTACATATTATGAATATTAAGATTCAATATAAAATCCTTTCTTAAAATCGTCCTTTAAATTAATTTTTATTGTATCTTTATAGATAAAATGTTATAATTATTGAAATTATGTATTTCGTATAAATTAAATATTAAAAAGATTTTATATAACAAAAAAAAAGTAAAATTAACTACAAATTTATATGGGAAAAAACCAAAAATTAAAAATATATTTAAGTAATATTAAATAATTTAAATTCTACTAATGCTACTATAAATTTATTAAGAACTTCAATCTTATATTTTCTAAAATTTTAACTTAATAATAAAATGCATTCAATTATAGGTATATAGGCATAAGGCAAAGGTTAAATATTTATTATGAGTAGAAATTTTTTAAAATCATAAAATTTAAAATCTAAAAAAATGCAATCAAATTAAAAATTGATAGAGTTTAAGGGTATATTTTAATTATATTTTATATAATATATACATATGCATTCTATTTTGAGTATATGATATATAAGTATATAAGAGATTAAATATATTACTAGCAAAATAATCGAGAAATAGAAAATAAAAACTGTAGAAGTTTAATATTAAAATTTTATACATTTTTTTCGATGTATTGTAAACTTAATATAGTTCAGAATTTAAAATCCAAAATTCGCTATTGAGAGTTAATTATTAATTAATATAAGAATTTTAAATTATTTTATTTGATATAAATTTATGTTTACAGAATTTTAAACATGATAAAATTGCAATGTATTGCAAAAAGCGAATTATTTGACTTAAATCTATTTTTGGATATTTTAAGTAGTAGAAATTAAGTTCATATTTATGAAAATTGTTAAAATATTTTATTCAAAATTAATTTATATAATTTTTTTGTTTTTTGTTAAAACGTTAATTTTTTGCTAAAAATAAATTTGTATTTGCCGTAGTTATCACAGTGATTTTGTCAATACAAGTACCATTCTAATTGTAAAATGACCAGAACGAGTACCCTTCCAATTGAAATTAAATAGTCATTGCTTTTTAATTGTAGTTCAATTGGAACATGTCATTGTTACAGCGAGCAAATCCGTATAATGTTCAAATATTATATATAAATAAATAATAGAGTTATAAATGAAGAATTCTTAAATAAAATACGAAATCGTAAAATTATTTATTCTCATTCTTTTCGAGAACTGTTATTAAAGTTCTTATTAACTTATAGAAATTGGCGAATTTTTTTCAAAATTTCAAAACTTCTTTAAATTTTTTAATTGTTTACAGGCGTAATAGTTCTAAATTAAATTATGAATGTTAAAGATTTATGGAATAAATATTTAAGACTTCTACAGTAAATATTCTTCAATTTAGGAGAACACCTTAAATAATATTAAGGATAAATATTTTTTTTTTGTCAATTTACTTATTGGAAAAGCATTAAAGTTATAGCTTTCAAAAACAAGCAAAGGAAAATATTACATAATAAACAAATTTAAAAAAAAATTTATTAAGCAACTATGGTTGAATATTTTATTTTTTTTTTTATTTAAATTGAATTTATAATTATAAAATTACAAACCAATAAAGAATTAAAAATTAAATGAAAAAATTTTTAACGAAATATGATTTTTATAAATTTTTTTTTTTTTTGATGAAGAAAACAACTTAAACTTACATTCACTTCCGCCTGATGAGGACGAATGATTTGATTTTTTTTTTTTGAAATAATTATCAAATTTTTGGTTTGTTTATTAATCGATCGTGTGCAAATTTTTATTTCAATAATTTTTTTTTAGTTTTTGATTAGTGATTAGCATTTTTGTTTTATTGTTTTTGTTACAAATTTTCGAAATTTGATAATTTGCAAAAGTTAGTGAGAAGCGCATAATTTTTTTTCACAAAAAGAAGTATGATAAAATATGTAAGTAAAAAAAAAAGGAAATAAGTATAGAAAATAACAAAATCAAATTAATAAATTGAAATAAAAAATTTTCCAAAAAAAAACATTTTTTTTTTAATTGTTAATTTTAATTTTTATTTAATTTTTTAAAAATATTACTAATATAAATAGTTATAAAAAAATTACTAGAAAAAATTTTTATCAAAAAATTCTAAAATTATAATAAAAAAAAAAAATGTGTTTTACGTTTAGTGTGTATAATTCGGAAAACACATTATTAATTAGAAAGCTTGTATTTTATGTATAAAAATCAGAAGCAGTGCCTGAAAAATGCATAGTGAATTCGTTGATTTTTGTGTAAATGTGTATGATAAATTTTAATTTTCAGTTCTGCGATGCCAATATTTACAATGACAAATAGTTAATAACAAGTAAAAATATTTTAATGTATAGTAAAATAAGTCAATTCCCGAATATGGTCGAATGGAATTTTAAGTAGACGATGTTTGACATTTTATCAAAGACAAAATTTTAAAAGATAAAATGTAACATCAACAGGATTTTGCAAAAATGTAGACAATTTAAATTCAATTTGAAAAAAATTAAATAATTTTCAGAGAGAATAGAAAATGAAACAATGAACGGAAATTAAGTGAGAAAAGTTGAAATTTCTATACGAAATATGTATATGCGCGCGCATGGCTTCGGTGCACATAAGATAAACTAATATTATCAACATTAATATTGTTATGACATGGCAGACATTCTTAATTATAGACTTCTAAATTAATAATTATTGTCGATACTTATTATTAACATAATGAATAATACGAGGGTCACTATTTATATTTCGGGTCCTGGCAATACTAGTGCTGACAGGTGCAATCTGACACTTCCATTGGAAAGTTTGACATTTTTTAGGACAACTTCACTCAGAACGTTTTGTCATTCGAGCGCGAATTGTTTTGTTTACAGTGACTTGAAAAATTCATCTCGGTCAAAAAATGGAATTGTCCCGTGAAAATTTTCGTGCGATGATTTTTTACGATTTTCGGCGCGGATTATCGAGACAAGAATGTCTCGATCAACTTGTTTCGACTTTTGGTGATGAAGCACCATCAAAAACCACTGTAAATCGCTGGTACCAAGAGTTTGGTTTCGGACGCCGTTCGCTCCAGGATGAATTTCGTGAAGGTCGGCCAATTTCGGTCGTTTTGCCGGAAACCATCGATGCTGTGCGCGAAATGATAATGATGGACCGGCATGTGACATACTGTGAGATTGAGGCATCCTTGGGCATTAGTTCCACCAGCGTACATAAGATATTGCATGAACATCTTGCCGTGAAAAAGGTGTGTTGTCGATGGATCCCAAAAAATTTGACGATTGCACAAAAGAAGGCTCGTGTCGATTGGAGCAAAGAAATGTTGAAAAAATTCAATCGCGATGCGTCAAAAGACGTTTATAAGATAGTCACAGGTGATGAATCATGGATCTATGCATATGAGCCCGAAACGAAACAGCAATCGACCGTATGGGTGTTCCAAGACGAGCCAAATCCAACAAAAGTTGTTCGTGGAAGAAGCACATCGAAGCAAATGATCGCGTTTTTTTTTGGTATAACCGGTCATGTGGCCACAGTACCTTTAGTGGAACGTAGGACGGTCAATTCTGAATGGTACACCACCATCTGTTTGCCGAAAGTTTTCGAAGAAATAAGGAAAACAAACAAGCGCCGGCGAATCATTCTTCATCATGACAATGCAAGCTCTCACAAATCAGCTGAAACAATGGACTATTTGAGCACTCAAAATGTCGAATTGATGGGTCATCCGCCGTACAGTCCTGATTTAGCACCCAATGACTTCTTCTTATTCCCTCACATCAAAAAAAAAATGCGTGGACAACGATTTTCAACACCTGAAGAAGCAGTCGATGCGTTCAAAAACCATGTTTTGGAGGTGTCTCAATCGGAGTGGAAAAAGTGCTACGAAAATTGGTTTCAGCGCATGCAAAAGTGTATTGATCTTCATGGGGAATATTTTGAAAAACAATAAAACCATTTCCAATGATAAATGTTTGTTTCTTATTGCTAGACCCGAAATATAAATAGTAACCCTCGTAATATATTCACAATATGATTGATTAGATATTATCGTAAAAATTTTTTAGATGTTTTATATTAAAAAAAATCCAATTATTTACATAGGTACATACAAAAAAAAAATTTTAAATAACCTAATGTTTTAAGATTTTCCAATAATACGCTTAATAACATTATGATTTCAAAATTTTTCATTCCCCGGATATAAGATATAAATCAATCATTACTTATAAATTGTACACAAACATACATACACATATCCATTTACACATATTTTGTACTATAATTTATTTAATTTATTCCATTCCTAATTTATTCATTTCTAATTTACCAATTTTCTGTCTGTTTTTTTTTCTGATTATTGCCACAAAATATAATATTTAAGTAAGAAAAATTATAACTTTCAACTATGTATAACAAAATTACATACAATTTTAATCATATAAAATTGTACACAATAAGTTTTTTTTTTTTTTATAACCGTTCACCATTACGAAGTTGTGCTTTTGCTCTCCATTCCGCTTTAAAATTACGATATAAAAACAAAATTATTCACAATTTCATATCACATCATCATAACCATCATTCACATCCCATTATTACAGTGTCTCATTTAAATCCAGTCAAAAAACAAAAAATAATAATAAAATTAAATGAAAAAAAAAAAAATTTTTTCACTGTCCATTTAAATACAAAAACCTGAAAAAATAACGAAGAAATATTAAAAACAATTAAAAATCACAAAAAAAAAAATTAGAGAAAAACTTAGCCCAAAAATAAATTTTTTTTTGTTGTAGCAAATTGATCCATAGACCATAGCTTAACGAATTTTAATATAATTTATCTGCCCTAGAAATGAAGCAAAATATATGAAAAAAAATAGAGAAAAAAAAATTAAATAAAATTTAAAAAAAAAGAAAAAACCTTAAAACACAAATTTTTTCGAACCCACCTTCCTAAAATATTGGCCTACTCCATAAATAAATATGATTTTCTATTTCTCTCTCTCTTTCTCAACTCTACATTGTTCCTATATGCTTTTCAATTCTTTTATGTCACTGTCATATGACTATGCTACATAATATTCAAATATGACAGAAAACATTTATTTGCAAATTGAAAAAGTTTAGATGAGTTTTTATTTTATTACAAAATAATTTTTATATAATTTAATATTCTCCCAGAATTAAAGAGAAAAAAAATAAACAAAAAAAATGGAAACAATACCACAGTAGAAATGAAGACAAAATATTGAAGAAAAAGACAGAGAGTCAATATAGTAAAAAATAACAACTAATCAAACTAAAATTCAACGGACCGTAACGCAGCGACCTGAAAATTCGTTGATTTGGCTAAAAGATAGTTAACAGTATTTGAACTATTATATTTTATTTAACTTTACCGTACAATATACATATGTACATATAAACATAGTACAACTGGTGCACACCAAACAAGAAACACAACAAGTAAAAATTAAATTCGTATTGGTAATTGCTTATCATTTTTATGCTCATATTATGCTCATAATTGTGTGTTACGTTGATGTAACAATGTACCTATGTATGTATATATATGTACATGTTTTACTAAAATTTTGTCAAAACACTTATTTAACTTGTCAAATAAGTTGCAAAAATCAAAAAAAAAATCCAATTTACAAGCTTAAGTTATTATGAAAAATGTTTACACAAAAATGTTTACAAAAAAATTTGCGGGACTTTTCAACAATGGGTACTAATAAAATGCACGACTAAGAATTTAATAACAATAAAAGAATAAATTGTGTAGTACTCAGATCATAGGTAGCGGTAAAAAAAAACTCATAAGTTTAGTTTGTTCTGATTCTGAATTTCCCACACGGCTATATGCCATTCGAAGACATTTCTTATGAATGGGCAATTTTTCTTTCTAATGATTTAAAAAAATAGTGTTCGTTTACCATCCAAATTACGCGGCTTACCATACCAAGAATCTTCGATTAAAATCTCACACTAATTTATAAGTTAAGTTTATACGGACATTTTATTACCTTTTCATTATTTAAAATCAACATTACAGTGATCTACTATGTATATTGCATATAGACAGACCCACTATAATGATAATACATTTGAAAAAATATTAAATAAGCTTTGGAATTTCAAATAAATATGACCATTTGTAATTAGATGGTAATTCTTGCAACACCTTTTTTGTAATTTGTTGTTACTACTTTGGTCACGAAGTATGCGTATTTACAATATTAGTGACATACATATATGTGTACATATATAGTTACCGCGTGTTGATATTTAGGACACTAGATTGTTTAGAACGAAATATGTATTTTCTATTTATTCGGATTTAATATGTTTTAGTTTTTTTGTTTACTTTAAAAATTTATACACCTGTGTTAAAATAGTGTATTATTTAGTATTTAATACTTATAGTATGAAGAAAGGTTTGCATTTGCTCAAATATTTAACTGAACAAATAATACTAAAATTTAGAGAAATTTTATATTTGTATTATTGAGTATGTTTTTAGCATAATTTAGCATCACAAAAATATTGCTAAATAATTGCAAAAATTTTAATTTATTCGTAAATCACCGGCAAATTTATTTGATCTAATACGAAAAATATTGATAAATGAAAGAGTGTTAAAATTCAATATTTTCAAAAGAACCGTTATACTCTGA